TCCGAGGAACCCGCCATTTCCGGATTGCGAGAAATTTTTGGGACACCCTGTAGACTGTTGTAAATCGATGCGAAGACAAAAGAAGTGTGAAACAATGCATACGAAGACGATTATTTGGTTCGAACGATGAGCGAGTGAGCTACTAGAGCAAGCCACTATAGTGGCGCGCCGTGCCTAAAAGGTTAATCGTCATGCACAAAAACACCGCCACTGGAAAAACGTAACTCGAAACTGAACGAAATCAGTAACCATAATTAACTGCCACCGATTAAGACAAGCTGGTAATGTCTGGAGCAAACCCAGCCCCGTTGTTTACGATGCAAATTCGTTTTGCAAGGTATCGGGCGCGCGTCGAACGGCGAGCCCGTGCCGACTGCTGTCCGTTGCAATTCATTGCAATTTACCATGGACGATGTTTTACCGGGCGAAAGAAAGCTGGTCGACCGACGCCGACCGTGCCCGACTTTATTGTGTACCTGCCGCGGCGAGAACCGGATCCGTTGTTTATATTTGCGCAACCGGCGAGTGCAGTCGACCTCGTCCGCGTAAATGGATTATTCCTAGGCCGGTGATGGAGAACGTTCGACGAAGGACTCCGATACGGTGAAAGTTTTTTCCTTGCAAGGGACCGGGACACTCGCCTCCGCCGACCCGTGTTCCGATTCCGAACCAGACGAACTCGAACTGGTTGAAGACGACGGCGGACCAGGCGGGGGCGGCAAAGGGGCTCGAAGGGCGGAGGTGGACCGAGGCTAGGCGGAAGCTGACTAATTGAAGTATTTTAATTATTTCGTAGCGGGATGAAGTTCCGAACAAGTCTGTGCTTTAGTGAACTGCCGCCGTTGATGTTTTAAAGCGGACCGGTGTAAGACAATTAAGCCGGTAATTTAAGCAATATGAACTTTCGCAGTTAATGAGAATTGCAACGGCCGGCGATAAATTACAACCCGGCGAACAGAAACGCGTAACCATCGTAAAAGAAATGTATCGAGGCGGTGTAATACAGTGAACCCTCTTGTAACACGACGCAGGATTTTATTCCTAAATGCGAACTACTAAGGAGTCAAATGTGTTCGCATAAGGAAACCGTCAGTTTTTCCCGATATTAAATATCACATATTTAATAGCTCACGGTATAACAACGAGTCAGAGTCGTGACGACGATTTCATGCTATTAAATATTAATTTCACGTTATTTCGTACTATTTAATATCAACGGTACAGTAATTTCTTTCTGATTCGCGCTCAGATTGCGCACAACAATGGACAATTTGTAAAGAGGAGAGTTACTATAAATATTTTTATAGTTCTTATAATTATAATCGTTATCATAAATGCATACAAATCGCAGTCTAATTATCACTTATCATTGTCGTTGTTAATGTTACCTTTATATTCAACATACTTGCTATATGTATGCGTATATTTATAACTACATTCACCGCTTGATATGTATAAAAACCGTATTTCCCATAGAACTACCATGCCGGTCTTCGTGTCTTGCATATCTCGACTTAAAACAGCCGACAGTTCAACGTCCAGATCCTTTGATCCTCTCAACCCCCAACGTTCATCCCCAAGGTCCAAATGTTTCACCCATTTAACCACCGAATTCCCCATTTACCGAGGTTTCCTTATTACATACAGTCGGTAACGAAAATTTTGAGACACCTTTTAAAACTGAATATAACTGTTTTAGAGTTAGAATAAACGATCTGAATTTTTTTTTAAATAATAAAGGGGCCAGTCTACTATACCGTAATTAGAATGCTTGTTTTTAATTTTGCTACCGCTTGGAATGACAAAAGAAAATAAAAATCTCTCATTCTTTAATTTTTTTATCCGAGCTTATAACGAAAATTTAAAAATTGTGCTTCGTAGATCTCGATAAGTTATGCGCATGCTGTGAGAATTTCATCGAAATCCGTAAACGCAAAGTCAAGTTACAAGCGTTAAAAGCTTTTGAAAACTGCAACATTTCTCACACTTATTGGTCGAAAGTGTCAATAATCGGGACAAAATTGCAATTATTACGATCTTCAAATGTTTAGCGTGCAAGGGTTCTTCTTCCGATTCAAGAATTCTGCAACACTTACGTTTGTTTAATGTTGTTTCATTTTTAAATAATTCTCGCAGAATTCTTGAATCTGCTGTGGCAACATAATAGGGAATTCGTGTTCACCGTCACAAAGCACGCGAATTAGATTAGATGTTCTTCGTGATAAAGTTCACGTTGACAAGGGATATTAAATATTTGACTTACATAGTTATCAATCTCGAGTGCAGACGAGATATCTGATAAATCAAGTATCTCCGATGATCTGTCACGTTTACGATAAAAACAGCAAAAAAGTGGGATCCATGCGAAATGAACGGTAGATTAATCGGAAAGCAATTGATTTAGGGATTAACGTGACGCGGAACGTTAATCTAGCCGGTAGCTGTCCACGGTCGGGAAACGTGTTGAACGAAAATGAGAGAGGATTCCTGAAAGCCTGATCCTGAGACAAAGGAAACGGAATGGAGTATGTTACGTTCTGATGAGTTGCGCGCTTTGTACGTACCGCCGGGTATTCCTAGGGTAATTAAATCTTGTAGCTTCGAATGGAGGAAACACACTTCTGGGAATGAGACGAGCGGTAATGTTTTTCGGTGTTCAGCCAAGCGAATCTAATAGAGGAGATGAAAAGACCTCGCGAGAGGGATACGAAAGAAAGCGCGGAATTAAAAGGAAATTCGATTCAACCTCGGAATTGAAAGCGACGTTACCGCTGGCGACGTATTTTTAGAGTCGCCTAGCGAACGCCAAATAAAAATTACATTCTGTCAAATAAATGCCGAAAATCGTTGATTTTTAAAAGCCCGTGCAATGGGCACAAGAATAATTTTCATGCAGTTAATTAACTGCATATCGGTGACCTTAATAAATATGACCTCTTTCATTGATGACTCAGAGTGGTCGCTAAATAACCCGTGACGTTAATGCAACTTTAAACACTCGAATCAAACCAAAAAAAAACAAGAAAATTCGCAGAGAAGGAGCCGAGAGCCATACCGAATAGCGTTCATGAGAAATGCTTTCACGATTGATTCAATCGTCGGAAAAATTATATCGGATCAAATGTCGAAGATAAAATTAATATCTTATGTTTTATTTTTCTTTTACTAAACACAATTCCCGATTCTTATCTGACCACCACCGGACGATTGCTGTTCAACGAATCGCGATGATTTGCTTTCTATTTATAAGCGAAAATCATTTGGAATCGTTCTTACGAAACGGAGCGCGTCGCTTGGTTGCTAAATAGATGAAAGTGATTAATAAAAGGTGTGACTAAACCGGATCGGACGCAACCGACAGGGATTCGTTGACAATGGACAAAGCCCGGGAGACACATTACACAATTGACATTCAGAACTGTCGCAAGCTAATGCCTGTTGCCGATCTGTTTCGCTTTATTGCATTGAAACCGCACCGCAACATAAGCCGATCGCTGCTGATCCATATATTTGCTGACAAAATGTGTAAATCAACGCCGCCGATTAACCCTCAAATTCTAACGACCAATCGCGGGCACGCGATTGGTCCCTGGTTACTAATAATGCTGCGATTAGACACACCGCTTACACCGTGGGCTGTAAATTTCATCGAATTAGACGTTCGAGCGGATACCTTCAGAAATTTAAATGCATATTAGATGAATCAAAATTATATTCTGCGATCTTCATAGCTCCCTATTTAATGGATCTCGGTAAAAAAATTGCCGGAGAATTCACTTTGGAAAATCGAAAGTTAGAGGTTGCAATTTTGCCAATATTGTATTCTATTCATCTCGATAACCGAGTTTCGTTATGCTTTCAATTATTTTGAAAACGTGGACCGCGCGATTATGCCATGCTGTCAACCATTTTAGTAGCGTCCGCAACTGCGAATTGTGTAGTTTTAGATAAGATAGTGGACACATATCAGATTAATAAATACTTCGCAGTCACTATTTTTTTGTCTAATTCAATTATTTAATATCAATAGCGTCTATTGTTCTGTTCCCATAGATCAAATAACACTTAAGAATCTGTCGTAGTAGCATTTATTCGAATATTTGAATATATAAACAAAATATTTTTACAATTTATTTTTAGTAATTTTATTCTGTTTATTTTCATTAATAGGCTTATTTCTTGACATAAAATGCTAAAATGTAATATTAACTAAAGATGTAAAGAAAGATTTATGTAACTTAAGATCATTGTATAATATTACATATACTTAGAATCAATTAAACAGTATTTACAAGATTAATATCAAGAATACTTCTTTTTTTACACTATCACATTCATGAACACGCTTGTAACTTATAGAAAAAAATGAAATATAAAACAAAACTTTTTTGTAATTTCGTCTTAAACATGGTAGTTTTCCCATACGAACGCACTCACTTAGTTATGAAAAATTCGAAAACCAGTCGGACCGATTAATTGAGAATACTAAAATCCGAAAACCGGTCATTTCAAAAATCGATATCGGCGTGAACCCTAGAGGGAGCACCGCAGCAACAGCTTATTTGGTTCAGCCAGTGTTCAGAAGCCGTAAATAACTGATAAATGCGTGGTCGGTATACTGTATCAAGGATTCTAAATCTTTTCAATAACGGCGCGCCGAAAAATCTTTCCCCCCCGAGATTATAGAGCGCATCGAGACGATAAACATCGCTAAAAATTCCTTATCGGCTGTATAGCGCGCTTATTCAAAGTTCCATCGCCCCACTAGCCGTTCTACGACGTGATTTTTATCTCGCGATATCGTTGGAATCGTGCTTGCGAAAAAGCTAGACTATTCTTTTCGTAGAGAAGATCCAGCCAACCCCCCTTCCCCGGCTGCCGCCCTGCTGCGCCGTCGTAACTACGATATTACGAATGCCTGCGCCACGTGCCTGCAGCTCGTGCAAAGTACGGTGCATTGTCGTCAGATAAGGATTTTTCGCTGAATCAGAAGAACAAATTTCCCGTATAAAAGCTCGACAGAACCGTTCTGCAGCAGACCCGTCAAGATGTTCAGAACTGTGACTTTGGTGCTGGTTCTTATAATCGCCGGAGCCCTCGGTGAGTGAAAGCAAACAATTATCAAAACTCGATCTCAACTTTGATTTTCATTGGAAATTCTACACGTTGAAACTCGTTGATAAGGATCCTTTTGCAAATTTCAATTTTTATGGATCGTTTCACGAAACCTAGATTGGAGAACAAGTTTGTGTTACTAATAGTTGATAGAGCATTAATAATAATTAGCATTAATAATAGAGCATTTTTTGTAGGGAAAGTAGTTCTGCGATATAAATAATATCGCTTAACAACTAACTAGACAAAATAATCAGACAGTGGACAGATCAATTGTACAATTCTTATTTGAACAATTTTAAGGTTTCGGTGTACTTTGACCGTGATCCTATTCGCTTGTCTGTCTTCTCACAGATAATTTGATCGTATCTATAAAATGTACGTCGACTGATTGATAAGACGTCGATACAGATTTTATATCCCTTTGTAAGTCACTGTGTCACTATGTCTTTTTATGAGTTACGTGCTGTGTACGTAAACTATGGATGTGAAATTAACTCTTTATACTCGAAGCTGTTTCAAATTTAAATCCAAGAGAGCTTTTTTGACCAACGGTACAGTAGAGACTCATACGATGATTTATTTTTAAATACTCTGATACCAAAACATTCTATTATTTAAAATTTTAATTCAAGTTCTCTCTACTAAATAATAATGTATCTTAATAATAAAATGTTTAAATAAAAGAACGTTCGAGTACCAGAATATTGTAAAAATAAATGTTCGGACAAGGTAGTCTCCAGTGTATTGCCTTTTGATATGATTTATTGCATTTTATTCGTACGACTGAAATTCAGTCTTTATAAGTTTTAGATGGTGTCGCAGAGACACCACACAAGTGCAAAGGGCTAAAATTACAATTAAAACATCAGCTTTTAAGTGAAATATTGTCGAAATTGTAACGAATATTGAAAAATTAAAGATCGAACAATTGATTGAAAATTCAATCGAAAATTTCACCATTGCAGGCTCCGTGGTGAAGATGCTGCCACCCCTTCCGGACTCTCGTATCGTCGGAGGAGTCGCAGTCGATATTTCGCAACACCCGCATCAACTGAGCTTTCAAACTACTGGACACATTTGCGGTGCCTCGATCATCAGCAGTAAATGGGCCGTCACGGCTGCCCATTGCGTGGGGTAATAACACGAATGCGTAAAGCTAACAACGCGTAGACACAGACTACCCTAACGCTGTTCCACGTGTCTCGGAATTTCATTGGTGGGCCGGTGACAGTGAAAACTGCGTTTCACCACTCGATGTCTTCCGACAGGCGATGGAATATTGAATTGAACGGTTGTAAAATTTAGTAGCGCGGCGAATTCGATCGCCTTTGACGTCGCTTCGCTTTCAGTTGTATCATTAATTATTCGGATAATTGAAAGTGTGCCCATAATTGAACTCGCGCGAATAATTTAATTATGCGAGAAGACAGAGCGCCGTTAAATCGCCACTAGTCGCCGCGATATTCTATTATCGAATTAAATCGACTTTGGGGATTACATCATGCTTCGTATGTCGACTGGTTCCATAATGAATATGTGGTACGCTGAATGCCGGCCGCATATTTTGAGAAGGAAATAGCGCCCCGGTTTCATCCGGGCAGGGTTATAGTTGCCGCGTCACTCTCAGGTTAACCAGAATCACGGCATTTTGATGTCTCATTGATTACAGATCGGCACCCAGCCGTTACAGTCTGAGAGCTGGCAACAACAACAAGGACAAAGGCACTCGTCACTCTGTGAAGAACATTATCCGCCATCCTAACTACAATTCGAACACCGTTGACTATGACATCGCTCTTATCGAGGTGAGTGAAACCTTCGAATTCATTGGAATTCAAGCTGGTAACTGTGATCTAGAAAAATATATAAATCTCTAAATATACTTTCTATATTTAATGTTGTTAGTAGTTGACTTTTATCGATTAATATTATCGGTAATTGAATCGTGTAACAGAATCAGTTTCATGCTCTCATCTGAGTTTTACAGAAAATTTGCCTTGATAGTGTCTATGTGCTATGTGCTACGTCTGTATTGCTGTCTAATACTAATTAAGGTTAAGTTGCTCCGTGTCTGTGGCCATGAGAGACGTGGCGGAGCAAAAGTAGTAGTAATATAGGAATGGTTATTTGTCGACATCCGACAGCCGGACAGCTTGAAATATCACATTCTTACAGATAATCTGACATCTGACACTCTATATTAAGAAAATGCTGGTGCCATTACAGGTCAACGAACCTTTCGTCTTCGGCTCTACTGTGAAACCTGTACAACTGGCTACTGCGGAACCTGCAAGTGGCAAAGTGGTAACCATTACAGGCTGGGGAGCACTGAGGGTGAGTTAAACTGTTTCTACATTTCAAGTTTGATTAGGTTCTCACAATTGTCAATTCTGATTCCCGATTAAGAATTTCCTGAATAAATTCTGCATTTTCTCTGCGATATTGTTTAGTTGGTAAAACGTCTAACACATTACTCTTCGCTTTGCTGAAACAACGCCAAATCTACCGGTCAAAATGACTGGTTTCACAGTTTTTGTTTTAAAATTGCTGGAATTATGCAGACACTTTCATAGGAAATGGTTGAAGAAACTTTATCCAAGCATAGGGGAGATCGAAGCTAGAAGTTCCCTTCTTGAGAGAATATAAAAAATGACTAAGAAATAATGTAGTTACTTTTTTCGTGACTCAGTTAACAACTTAGGCCAAGTAGATTTTTACTAAGAAATAAATGTTACTTTTTAATGAGATATTTCATTCTCTGAAGGAATGAAACATGATTTTATTAATAAATTTTGTCTATTAACTTCGGATTAACAGAAATACATATATATTTTTGAGAGACAAAGGTTAATCATTTTTGGCGTAAACGTTAATATAGCAAAATGAAAATAATTATCTAATATTATGATGATTTCATATAAATGTCACAAAAATAATGCCAAAAAATAAAAGGATTTACAAAAGTATAACGAGTTTAGAAGATTTATAAGATAAGAAGATATTTAAAAAAAAATATTGTTACTTCTTACTTTCTTCTTAATTATGAACTATATAGATACAATTATTTTATGAATATTTCTCCTTTGACTTCACAAGAGTAACGTCGAGTGTTCTCCGAAAGTGATTATTGCGACGGAATGAGTAATAAATAAATAGATTGCTTCACACGAAATATACATTTTTCAAAATTCCGCTTTCAACTACTTTCTTAGGAGGGTGGATCGACATCGCCGCTGCTCCAGCAAGTGTCCGTGCCTGTCGTGACCAGGCAGCAGTGTAAAGATGCATATAGTCGCATGAACGACATCACCGTCAGAATGATCTGCGCTGGTGTCACCCAAGGTGGCAAAGACTCCTGCCAAGGAGACTCCGGTGGTCCTCTGACCTCTAACGGCGTTCTTTACGGTATCGTCTCTTGGGGCTACGGATGCGCTAAACCAAAATACCCAGGTGTTTACACGAACGTGGCTAACCTGCGTTCCTGGATCAAGGAGAACAGTGGCGTATAAATAATCATATGGTAACGGCTGTCGCCAGTATTGACATTTTTGGGATTTCTAATCTCCCGCTTTTAGTCAATGCGTTTGTATTTCTTTTTTCTCCTCTATAAAATATAAATCTTTCACATTTTTCTTCGTGTGGTGTCTTGTGTGTCCTTTATTCAAACCTTTGTGATTCCCAAATAATATTGACAGCAAAGGCGGTTCATTCGACCACAAAACGCTTCCATTCGCCGTCTCACCACTGCTCTAAAGTTCTCTAAACTTTCCCCGATAGTTCACCTGAATGTACACTTTGATCACGATGCCCGTTTCATTGAAACCATTTCGACTCTCCGTTTTCATCGCGCGAACAGATAATTTTATCGTAAGACAGTGGAGCCAGTTACTGTGGGGTGACCACTTACTGTGCATTTGGTTTGTTTCTAGGCATAATTAGTTCTAGGCGTAATTAGTATAATATCATATTTATCGAATGAGGCACATTTAACTTTCTTAACTCTCATACAGATAAGACAAATGGAGAACGTAGGTGAGATCTAAATAAAGTAAATAAATACAAGATAATGTTATTTTCCATTTATTACTAAAAAGAAACCGCAGAGAGAACGAAATCTTAATCTGCACGTAAAACTATTTATTGTATACAAAACAATGAATTTAATACTATAACTAAATAATAGTGCGATTATCCGAACACTCGTGTTTCCTTGATCACTTTGGGTAATCGAGGCTCTACGATATTTTATTAGAAAAAATATAAATGCATTCTTTCGTACATTGATTCGTCGCTAAAGCCGTTAAAAGTCTCTTTATTCTATTACTCTTTACTCTCGTGCCTCTATCATTTTCCTCTTTCATACTTCTTTCATATCGCAGCCATTCAACAGATAAGTCGATTCGTCGGGGACTTCTAAACTATTGGTAAATAAAGAGCATCGAGCAGTCAAGAGGGAGATGTGTGTGCACACACACGAACTCGGTGAACGTGTACAAGAAATGCGTTTTAGTAAGTGCGCGCGCCGTCAATTAATTTTAAATCGCTCGGAATCGAACGTGCGACTAATCTTGACACGTTTGTTCCATTATCTCGGCCTGGATACGATATCGCTAATCACGATTTAGCTCGGAACACGCTCGACGACAAAGGACAGAGATATTCTGTTTCGTCCGACTTGAGAGTTCTTTGCCGCTCTATACCAGAATAAATGTTAATGGATTGCCGGGGGATTTTTGAAATGCACGGAACAACACGATTTCGAAAGCGACCAATGATCGATAACGACGTTTATCGGTGACAAAATTCGACCGCTCTCCGATTCCTGGTCCAATAATTTGACAGACCGGGCTCCCAGCTCAGTGTCAATTTGTGTCGACATGTCTAAGAGAGTGCTGTTCCTGATCTGGATCCTCCTCGAGGACGGTGAGTTGGACAATACGTGACTGTTCGACGGAATCCATTTCTGTGACTTGCAACTTCATGCAAATATTCTTAACTCTCCGCCGCAGTTCTTGCATCCGCAAATACCAGGCATGTGAACATCGAGGACTATCCGTACCACGTAAGTCAACAAGATCCATCTTCTGTATCTGTTAATACCATCTATTCTCTTCGTCGGAAATCCGATAAATTTCGAACACTTTCTGGAAAACAGTCGTATTGTGTTCTCTAGAGTTTTAGTGTTTTTTGTCAGGTTCTACGGTATGCAGAAATTATATTTTGTAAGAAATTGAAATATTTGTTCTAATTTGAATTGAGAAACGTAGACATTGGAACGTCTACCAAGTAGCACAGTGGGGACTACGTAGGCAAAATTCAACAGTTGCGACTGTCACGATATGAGATATGTTTTTTTTACAGAAACTGCTTATTAGGATTATATACTATTATTATTATATATTATATATATATATTATGTTATTATATATTATATATTATATATATTATATATTATATATATTATATTATTATATATTATATATATATTATATTATTATATATTATATACTATTATTATTTTGTATTAATAACGTAGGATGAAAGCATTCACATATTTTATTTCTATGATCAAACTGTTAATTATATGAACATATCCTGAAGTAATTTTAGTTGAAACTCTTAAGAGGTAGGGTTTCCATTTATTTGAACCGAAGTAATTGTTGCTAACGTTAATTTAATGCTAAATTCCCTCTTATAGTATGAGAATAAAAGCAAACATGCGAAGCAACTTTTTGAACATTTTTTTGCTTCTCTGACTTGAACGTTTTTTAATACAGTAGAACATTTTATAACAGGGGCTAGGGCACAGAAATTGCGGCAGTGTTGATATTACAAGAAAAAAATAGGATGTATAACACGGTATTTACGAGTTGTATTTACATTTTTACAATGTAGCAGGAGCAGATGCGACTGAAAGCGAACATTAGTGCACGCATGCTAGAAAAAGAAGCTTTTTTTTATTTTAAGTGAAATGTATCATGGTAAAACTTTTTTAATTTGTACATTTTTCCCTCTTCTAGAATAATGAAACTGCGTGTTACTGTTATATTTACAATATTTCCTCCATACTACTGTTAATTAATATTTATATCATGTTTTCCATTTCCAAGAGCACGCATAATTTATATTCAGATAATCTGCATAACATAAAACGTGTCCGTCCTCTTATACAAAGTTTTACTGTGATTATTTTGATATTGCACAGTTTTCAATTTTCTGAGTAAAACATATTCCATTTCTTGTTACTGTGCAGTATCGGAAGTTTATAAATTGTATTTATTTTGTGAATGGGTCACTTTTCTAATCTTATCGATTCTCGAAATGCACAGTATCGTGTAATTCCACAATTGACACGAATTTTACGGTGATCTTGTTTTTGGAGATCAAACATTTATAAATTCTCATTCGTTCCATTAAATGAGTCACTTCTTATCTGTGTATTTAACATCTCTCCGAATTTATCGATTATCGAAATGAGCAATATCATTTACTAATTCCACAAACTTACGGGCTTATATAAAAAAGTTAACCCTTTGCAGTCGAAGCCATTTTAACTATAAATCAAAAATAATTTCTCTCATTTATAGTATTTCCATTTTATATTAAATTGAGTCTTGTGGTACAACAGTTACGGCAATTTACGGCAATAAATAATTTAGCAATTTCTTCAATCTAAGCTTTGTTAATATAAAAATTATCTTGGAACGTGCTATAACAATTTTAGTGGTGCCTGAGAGTCACCACTCGAGTGCAAAGGGTTAAAAAACTTGAGTTTTCTTTTGTCATACCAAGCAACAGCAAAATTAGACGAAGGTGTCATCTAAAAAATAAATTCAAGTCGTTTAGTCTAGTTTGAAAGAAGTTATTGCGTTTTAGAAGGTGTCAACATACTTTTCAGCGTGACTGTACGTATACGATTGCGATCGCGTTTCTGTATTTCAACGTTCAAAAATAAGAAAGGAAATTCGTGTTGGTTACGGGATGGGCTAATACTTTACGACGGACGCATAAACATAACTTTTCACGACCCCATCAAACTAACCACACCATTCCGTACCGCCACCATGAGCACCAAGTGGGTATCTCACCTCACGTGTAGCCACAAAAATTTTCAATCTTTCCGGGCCATGAACTCATCAACCAAAATTCGGTACGCAGTTTCCACTAAAAAATACGTCGTTCCACAAAATCGGAGGAATCACAAAATCATAATCGAAAAGTTGTCGACTTTCGACCCTCTATAACTTTCTATAGAATATCTGAGAACATTTCACCTTTACGATTGGCCAATTCTGGTCGCTTTTCCTTCACCGCTGCATTCAATTTGTCCAGTTGCTAACATTCACGGATAATAAAAAATAACATAATAATAATAATAATAATAATAATAATTTTATAATATAACATTTACAGATATCATAAAAATGGGAGCGAGAGACATCTATAACTGAAATCGGCAATTACTTAGTTGCCAACCCAATAGTTCGTATTGGCACGATTTTCATAATAACAATGACTACAAATTAAGCAGAAACTTCCAAGGTGAAGGTGCAACGATGTGGGGAGGTTTTCCCTCACTCGGAAAATTGAAACTCTGTTTCATTTCTAACAGAATGAATTCCGAGAATTACGTAGACATGTTAGATGGAGTTTTAATTCCATTTTTAGCATACGTAAACGGGGAACATGAATTTGTATTCCAACAGGACAATGCAGTGGTCCGTGTTTCCGTACATTCTCGCGAATGGTTGAAGTCACAGAACATTCCCCTAATGGGATGGTCTGCATGTACCCTTGATATGAACCCCATAGAAGATTTATGGGGCTACAATGGCCAAAAGTGTGTACTTTATTGAAGCAAGGTGAATTTTGCGCTAGTGCGTTTCAATGTATCTAAAATGTCGAAAGTTCGGAAATGTAGAATTTCATTAATAAAGACGATCCTAAAATCATTATTGCTGAAAATCAAGAAGAAAGTATTTAATGTCGAACATGCAATAACAGTGACAACATCATGTGATGTGGAGCGGTGATTTTCGTCGTACAAATTAGTTTTCACCGAGAAACGCCAACAACCAACGCCGTCAAATTAAAAAGAAATGCTACTGTAATTCGGAATATAATACTGTATATATGATAATAATATAATATATATATATAATAATACAATACTGTATAATACTGTATATAATATATATATATAACAGGATATTTATATATATATATATATATATATATATATATATATATATATATATATATATATATACAAAAACACGGGCACGTGCGAGCGATGTTGACAGTAAGTCCATCGCTGTACCGTCAATGTAACAAACAGCGATCGAACCGGTTATCGGAGTGTGCCACGCGTTCAAATCACCGTCGTTCGTGTTGCAGGTGTCCATCGAGAAGAACCGGAAACACGCGTGCAGCGGCGCGCTGGTGCACGAGTCCTGGGTCATAACCGCGGCATCCTGCGTTTTCGGGCGAGTATATATTTCTTCTCCCCTCCGCGGAATTTATGCCGCGCCACGCAAATTGCCTCGCCGTGGGAAAAAATCAGCGGATTTACGGAACCGGGTGTGGTTGCTTGCAGGGCTGACCCGTCGACGGTGTTCGTGCGAGTCCGGACCGGCACGCTCGCATCCGGCGGAGATGAATTGGAGGCGTGCAGCATCCTGGTGCACCAGGATTTTGATAAATACGTGCTGCTGAATGACATCGCGCTAATAAAGGTACACGGCTAGCTTTTAAAACCGGCTGAAAGCACATTTATTCCGCGACATTTCGGCCCGCGAGCCGGAAGCCGGACGTTTATCACGGCGGCGCACACGCCGACCGGAAATTTTATTATTGCTTTATCGCTTCTATAAGGTGAGCCGGCGCGAATAGCGACGCTATCGTTTTACAGCTATTTCAACGACAACGTGTGTCGTTTCTCTCGGAAGGAGAACACAAGAGTGTTGGAGACGAAAAAATAAGACGATCGACGGATCTCGAAATTGATCGTATTTAACGTTTCCTCCGAAAACGTCGACAAACACATTTTTACTATTTCTATTTAACACTAGTTTTACCAAAGGGATTGAAGGACATATTTTAATAATTTTTAACAAATTAATTCCTATTAAAAATAGGAATTTCTTTTTTATTTTTATTAATAAATTTTTTTTTATTTTTATTAATAAATAAAAAAGATTCAAGTCGTTTGGACCAGTATGAAAAAAATTACTACGTGTTAAAAGGTAATCGAATACTTTTATATCCAGGGGTTGCAGTTGATATATCTTCGTGATCTATTATCAACAGTTTCACGAATTGCATCGATGAAACTACATAGTTCTGGGTGTAATTTATGGGTGTTATCTCTATGTGCGATCTTATTGGTTCAAATAAAAACCGGTTCTCCGAACCGAGTGCATATAGCTTGCAGTAATGTACTAATGATTTGCAGTGCGAGGGAAATATCATAATACAGTATGCTTCGGCGAGAGAAAAGAGTTTAATAAACATTGGAACAGTGATGTATTGTCGCTCGATTAAATGTGCCGCGCGTATATCGGCGCGCAACGGTAATTATTGAGTTAATTATATCGCCGAGAACAAACGGGGTCGGAACTGTTTCGAATAATTGTTCTCGCGTGCGCGGGTGTACAGCCTGTCCCACGGGTTTTTATGCAAACTTTACCTGTGTGTTTTGCACATAAAAATCTAGAATAGAATGCCGTATTAAAATGTCACAAATATTAATCAAAACATACGGTTATGATAATAATCTTTGTTTGAATTCTGTGCTCAGGTAAATATTAATTTTTACCATTATAGTGTAATAGTTTATGTTATATTATGAATATTATATTCAATGTTTAAAGTAAAAAAGAAACTTTTTCACACTTTTCTAGCAGCTTTGAAATCTTATGCTCGTAGATGTCCTGCCTTTTATTGGCAAAATACTGACTCAAGTGCTTTTTCAACACTCTTATGAAACAAAATGTTTTTGAAAAAACGAAACAGCTTTCCGAACGATCCAATAAATGTCTATGTAACTTTGGAATCTTGCAGTGAATGCAAACAATTTCTATTTTCCATAAAAGTCCGTGGTCCAGTCGTTAAATTTACGGACTTGTCGTTAGGACATTCAAATATTAAAACACGATCTTTTTTAATGCAGTTAAAGGTGCCCGTGCAATTCGGAGAAAAATTGCTTCCGATTGGCCTACGCGACGAATGCGATGGAGAACCGAACGATGGAACGATTTGTTTCGTGACAGGATGGAAACACAACCTCGTGAGTCCGTTTCGTATTTTCTGGGTGCTGGTGATAGCTATCGATGCCACTATGAAATATTTAAAATTGCCTTTCTCAGTTTACCAGATTAAATTCGCTAATCAGTTTCATATAATACCGGGCGCATAATATATATATATATATGTACCTATATCATCGAAGGATGTTACACACCCCGTATCGTATCGCGCGCAAAAGTTATTTTCAAGCTGTCCGTTCTCTGCCCGCTAATAATTATCATTCTGTGTCATCGTGTGGTCATTAAAGCGCGAGTTCATTTATTAAATACTCGCTTTCACGCGATATCTGATTCAATTTCGGCTCGGATATGTACAAACACTATGCATAGTGGAAACGGTAAAACATAAAATTAACGCGTTTGTAGTCGAACACTGCTATTTCCGCAAAAAAATCGGCTTATTTCTATTTTATTAATAATAATAAGCTTCTCAAAAATTCTGACCAATTAATATCTCTTCAGAAATCCAGAGTAATAGTTATTTGAAAAAAAATCGTGTTGATTATTCGAGGTGAAGCTATTAATTGCGAAACGTAAACTAAATTGATTGAAAACCAAATTGAAACAAAATTATGTTCTTTTCTTTGTACTTTAATGAATTTATTGCTTCTAACTAAAAACATTTGAGTCAAAGTAGCAATTGTTATCTAACGATCCCTTTTTATATCGATGTAACAGTTACGCCCCTGATTCTCTGTCAGAAAGATGAGAAATTGGATTTAAAGTAACCGCACTGCAAGAGTAATATTGTTGTCAAATAACGTGTACCATGGTTTGTTCAATATTCATAGGATATTATAAAGTCTCCTAGAACAATGTGTTACAGAGTATACGCATTTTAGTAAAATAATAATGGCTTTACTCTATGAGATGTACAAGCGAGTAGTGTTGTACGAACACAAACATATAAGTTGCTTCGTTATGGACCAAAGGACGGAACATGATACGCCTGTAACAATAAACTGTCACCATGATAGCGTGGAATCAGGGTGCTCCGAGTACCAGTATCGTGGTGTGCCAATCTTTTATACAGCAATTACATAAATAAGATACAAGGTAGACTACTAACTATCCGAATCTACAGTCCAAACTCAAGCACTGTAACGACTTAACGACTTAACGCTTAATTACCATAGACAATTGAAACGTACAAAACTCCTATAAAAGGCATCGCGAGAATCACTAATATTTATTGTGTTATTACACGAATACCATGGCCACACGAAGATCAAATTAAATTGTTCTTGCTTTATATAATAGTAATTAGTCTTCGAATTTGATGCATTTACGACGGAAATGAGAAGACGTAATCAAAAGTATTGTTGCACTGTTTCCAGCTTGTTAAAACTATAAATACATGAAATAAATGTCTGCATAGTTTATTCCAGTTATTCGTAGTTATATTAGTAGTAGTAGTTATATATGTTATTATTATATTCGTAGTTATTATAGTTATTTATAGTTTTTGTGCCACTTTTGTCACGCACACCGGTCTTATTTTGCATAAAAATCCTTAATCTAGTGATATTGAACACTCCCAAACGTACATGGACAAGGACAATTTATTGAACACGTTTGTTTCATGGCGACTAATTATTAATTATTGTTAACATTGAAGTTAGATTTAATTAAAATTGAAACAGGTCTCACGAATCTAATACATGCAATTTTTAATATTCCAGTAAACTGGAGTCACTGTATATTATACAAATAATATAGTAATAATATAAATGTGATAGTAAAAAGTCAAAATTTGTTACTATACTGTTACTATATATTCTTACTATATACTGTTATCATATTTGCTTGCCGATAGTGTAGTGAATTAAAGACTGTTGCAAGAATGGTTCAAGTAGTTTCGTGATGGAGTTCTTAATCTTACAGATAATAAGTGATCTGATAAACCAATCGAAATTGATAACGATCAAACCTTCAATCTAATTAAAAGTAATCAAGATCATATTACAAAAGATATTGAAAATATCGCACTTTTGCATTGGCGAATCATTTGCATCTGTTTCTTATTGAATGTTTCAATATTACTTTCTGACACATTTAATATACAACTAACAAGCAAGCTGCATTTTCTTCGAGCAAAAGAAAAATGTTGTAAATCAAATGTAAGAAACGGCAATTAAAGAGAAATGAACTTCCCCCTGTAATAATTTTCACAAGTTGTAAATACTGTAATAATATTCTTCAATTCTTCTATAGTCTTCTGTATTTGCAGATTCGTTTTTGTCATGAAAGCATAAAATTCGTAGTCTCATAATAATAATAATTATTCTATTCTATTCTATATATAATAAAATAATATAATAGATTATGGAATTTTCCATTTTTTGCCACTTCAGTTTGCAACGAAAAATCTGAAAAAATTCTCTAATATGCAACTTCCGATTCGAAATACGCTACATTTTTTTCAAATTTTAGGAAGCAAGCGGAAAGAGAAAATATGCGGAAAAGCGCACGATCTAATTTATCCCGTAACTAGCCGTACAGGTTAACTACAGGGTTGAAATCCTGCAGAAATGAGTTTTTTGTGAACAGCTACCAAACGGTGTAATATTCGTGTAAAAAAAAGCTCTAAGGGATATATTAAGGGAAAATTTTTAAGACTCCTAATGACATTTTGATTTGTTCATATGTTACATTTTCTCGCATCGTAAACACCAAACACGATATAATTACGATCATAATTACTTGGATAACAAGTGATTAAAATTTCGGTGTAGAACTCATTGCACAAGTAATTACAAGCGTGAACGTATTACGTATGACGTTATTTTAATTTGAAAGATAAATCGAAAACGATAAAGTTTCATTGACGAACAACCAAAAATAAGGAAATTTGATTTTTTAATTTCACTGGTAATTAAGTGAGATTTGTGGTGCACGGTTAAATCAACATATTAAATTGACAATTGACATTTCTCTCACTCTTCTCCAACCACAGTGATTGCGATGAGAAGAAAGGAGATCATGAAATCATCAAATGAGTCCAATATCATTTATGGTGTCTGCACTCATTTCAATCAGAAGAATGGCAGCTATCCATTGATGCTACAAATAGAAAGGCAAAACAATAATTACTGAAAATGAAATTTTCTTTATTCCACATTTATTTTCTGCTGACTGCGATGGCTCCGTTTAAATATCGAACACGAACAGTCGTTGATCGGATGAAAATTTTCTGAAGTAGTGAGCACATTTTCATCGTAGAACTGGATTATGCTATAAATCCTAATCTCTTATTACGTACAAAATCAAATTATACGTTCACAACGTATAACGAATCGATGTAAATTTAACCGTGCATTACTGCACGAAGAATGTATTAGGTCTACCGGGAAGTTCTGTCCGACAGTGTCACTTCAAGTTTCAATCCATATGCGTTATTGTGTTATATTTCAATTAAAAAACGGACAGAACTTTCCGGTAGACCTAATAGCACCCCTGTCGTAACTGGAATTCGGCGATTGCAACGAACGAACGAATTCTAGGAAGGACCAGGGGAGACGCAACTGACAGCGACAGCGGTGCCAATAGTGAATCAAGACACCTGCATCTCGAAGATACCCAGCTACGAGCCGGTGTTCCAGAAAATGCTTTGCGCCGGTAACATGACCCTCGGGGTGGAGACGTGTCAGGTAAGATGAAGACAAGGGAACTTTGACCAGGGGTGGGGAATGGTGAAACGGTGGGCTGTGTGCATTCGCGAGCCACGACAACCCTGCGACACCTAAGATCCTGTAGCGTCTGCTAAGCAGATCCCTCGACGTCGCGTCGTCGCGCGACGCCACTCGTCGTCCAGAGTCTCTCGGTGTGTGCATGTACATATTGTAGATCCAGCGTGCACTGGGTTTTGCGGCCCGAGCACCTCTACCTAACCAGCCCATTTTGCTTATGGGCTTCGATGTCAGACGCAACCGTTTCGCGAACAATGAGAAACCCGACACCCAAAAACGGGCCGCTAATGTGTCTGACGGCCGCATAAACGGGGAGTTTCCCAATCCGATGTGTCGGCGAAGTGATCATTAGGAAGATAGATGGCTCGGCGCAATATGCGCTTGCTATTGATAACTAGCACCGCCGGATCTCCAACGAATGGGAGTTCTATTGGTGATATATCAACCCTTTCTTCTTTGGCCATCAACAAAATGCAAACCGTTGATGAGAATTTGAAACGTTCTTTTCGGATTACTCCGTTCTGCGTGAAAATTGATCATCCAGCTTCGGTGCCACGGTATTTTAAGAGATTCACGATCACTTCGTTTTTCGAGATAAAGCAGAAAATCTCGGTTTTCGCATTTAACGCGAGAACTACTTTAACACCACTGGCGTTATATATAATAATTTATAATAATACATATAATAACATATAAACTTATATAAATATATGTAAATGAAATTATAACAATTAATTATAATATTAATTATATAAACATATATAAATAAATATATATGAATAACTTTTAACAATGCCACGATTGGATATATTTAAACTTGCTATAATTTCTGTTATAATTTATCCTTGATTAAAAAAGTATATGTCTAAAAATATCTGATAGAAACATTTTTATAATATCAAGAACTGTGAAAGAAGAATCCAATCTCTTTAACTAGGTTTATAGTTCTGGTGTTAACGTTGATATTTTCACTTTTTGTTATACGGCTTAAACTTGCAGTCGTTAAACTTTATAGTTTCAGCGGATCTTTATGAAGATTTTCATTTTCATCAATTCTTTCATAAAAACCTGAAGCAGGAGAAAACTTCTTATACCAACCAAAACATTCTCTGTGGCGAACGTGGAATAACGAAACAATTGACACTCGTCGCTTAATTGATATAAATAAGACAATTACAAACGATACGAACAGTTTCGGATGATTTAGACACAGATCGCTTCGAAGCTGTGCAGTTAAGTGTAAAATGAACAAATGGTACAAAAAATCATACCAAATCATAACTTATATGTTCAATTAACTGTTTCTTGGTACGATGATAATTTTCTAAAACGAGCTTCTCCCGCGTTTTCGGGATAAACGACGCGCTGTGCGACCGTTGCAGACAATCGAATTGCTGTAGGGCGTTGTTTCGTTAAAAGGCGTAAAAACATCAGATTAAACTCGAAGGATATAGCGCTCGACGCTTAGATTGAATCGGTTCCATTTACCCGCTCCGGGGAATCGCGTCTATCATTGAACGCGCGCTCATTCATTATTGAACATTCAATTCCGTCTCGTCCGGGGAAATCGTCTTTGTTCCTCGTTCTTTCATCGACGCGTCAAAATTCCGACCTCCGGGCACCATAGCGCGCTCGCGAACACGAAAAACGAAAAAAAGAGATGGTGGACGAAGCGAATGGATTCGGTGGCCTGATTGTCTTTTATGCGTGGGCGCCGCACTTGTACCGTCCTCCTGCGATTCAACGCGCGCCGGGCGAACGCTCCCGCGACGAATTCCGTCTGTCGATTGCACCCAATAAGCGGACAATAAAGTCTGTGACTCGAGGACGCGATTGCAACCCCAAAAAACCGTGTCTAACGTTCGCCGATAAATCATGCGCGGCGCACCCTTTCTCGCGCGAATCCAGTCGGCGCTGCGTCGCGCCGCGTCAGCGGCGAATCGCGAAGCTCCGACGCGCTCGACGAAACCGGCAAATTTATATGGACGATAATTAACGCGTAAAACGAACGACAAACAGCTGGGGCGCGCTTTCGATCAAGGAATATTCGGGCTAATTTAAATCATCGTAAATTTGTCACGAGTCCCCGAGTTGCACCGAGCTGTGCTCGTTCCAACGTGTCCGCTGCGCATTGTGCTTGGGACTGTTATAATTCTTCTTTAATTGCAGCGATGACAGGGATTCGCGGGATGATTCTTAATTGCAGCGCGATATTTTAAGGGATCGTTCGGGGGACCCGGAGCACGGAGCACCGTTTGAACAGAGATTCTAATCTTCTTTTCGTTCGGCGGAAGACGAGACCGTTTCTCGCTGAATTATGTTTCCTTTTCCGCGAAAAGCAGCGCGGCGGCTTCGCCGTGCGTTCCGAATATATTAAACGCCAGTACTCGGCGAAGTGCAACTTACCGAGAATTGATAGTAAAGCGCGATTTGAATCATCCGGTGACGAGATTAGATTATATTACGTTATAGAGTAGCGTTTCTCGAGTACGCCTGCTCCGATAACTCGACTATAAAAGTTTATGCACTTATACCGTGTCTAGAATGACTCGGCTAAAGGAGGCTACCTATAGTATCTTTTTGAATTATGTTGATTCGGCTGCGAATTCTATTTACGTCGAAATTGCGCATGTTCGATTAAAAATGGGAACTTTATTAAACCAGGTTATGAATATCATGCTATTAGGTTCAGACAATAAAGATTCCTATTTGACTCATGCATCTTGGTACGCGCCGACCGTGTATGCGTATAACACGATCGAAGTGTTTAGCGAATGCTATTGCAGCGAATGATATTGTACGTAAAAGAAATGTTCATAGTTTCGAGTAGCAATGCATTACCGTGAACATTATGGGATGTCCTTGAGACAACTGTTAACTAAACAAATGAAATGTCGGATTAAATATAAGCGAAAGGCAAAAGGCAGGCATACGATCATGGCAGCCGGGAAATTAAGCTAGATTTGGAATCGAAGGAGCGTGGATGGGTTACGTTGGCGCGCCGGGACTCCAATATACCCGTTTCGACCCCCACCCCTTTGTAAATCTGACTTAATCTCTCGGCTAGCATGTGTATTAATGCTCATTTCCACTGCGCTGGCTTTTGCCGATTGGTTCTGCTGCATCCGTTTCAGCTTGGGTCGATGTTGCACGCCACGAAAAGCCAAACGTCGGTATTTTTCAATCGAGCTATCGGCTTCGTCGTTCCTCCTCGCGCGTTATCGGAGGACACGTTCGAACAAATCTTCCATGCTGTCCCTATGCGCGTATCTGGTGACCAAACTCGTACAGAAGGTCACTCTTCACGAGACGGCTCGCGACGGGTAAATTCGCAGAATGATAATGAACGAAACGATTTTATTTTATGAAATCTGCACAATAATTTCTTCAAAGCGAAAAAGTGTAAATCAGTCAGAAACATTAATCTAGAGATAGCAGCTGAAAGAACAGCTTGCTTACGATAATCGGTCAGAGATTATCCACGATTCGCGCATAATCATTTTAAAGAACGTGCAGCTTAAGCGTTGATTCGCTGGACAAGTCACCTTAGGTGGCTAGTTTGATCTCAGGATAAATATCAATAAATGAATACCGTTTCAATCCAAGCATCCTGTAAGACACAGCACAAAAGATGCATCGCGTTATCAGCAATTGTATGTGTGTGCGTTTGAATGGCTATTGAACACCATTCACGGCGCATAATGGAAAATTATCACAATGCAATAGAGATTTCAACGCGCGCTTTCATCGTTATAATAATAACAATAAATTCGACGGTGCCGCGTAAAGAGCGATACCCTATCGGTCGGCTCTTCCAGGCCGCCAATAGATTTCAATACCATTTTTGCCCAATTTTCGCACGGAAAATACAATCCCCCGAAAGTCATATAACTCAGCCCGCCTTTTGAAATCAGGCGAACGGGCGCTGGTGGCGATTCGAATATACGATTTTCTGAATACGATCCTGCTTTAAGAGGGGAAAACTAATTGGAATTTTCCAGACCGCTCCCGAATCGCGTAACGATTCTAACGCTCTTCGAAATAATTGTCAGCCTCGGCAAAGAGAATTTTCCGATGATTAATTTTTTTTCCTACCACCGATCCGTTTGACGTGTCTCTCTCTCTGCGTCCTGATTTATAACGTTCGTCGCTGACGGATATAATAACTTTATAAGATAAATTTCTCTATAATAATATAATTACTATATTATATATATTATTTATGTATGTAATGTAGCAGCTAAAAAAACGTGGATAACGTATTATGTAGCATTAAATCGTCAGTTCGTATCACTTGGTATTTAATTATATACCCACGTTTTTTAGCTGCTACATTGCATACGGTTAGATACACCTAATATAGTTACGAAACAACTATAATTTTATTACAGGAAAAATTCATATCTCATTCACGGTGGTTGTCCCCTATGTGTCAGCTTGAAAGCAAATCTAGAGGTAAAGGGTTAATGGTTGTAGAGACGCGATATCGTTGGAAGGCGTGACAGTTTTCATTCGAGGTAGAGAGGGCGAAATGACCGGTCGCGTTACCGCCGAAATAATTGGTTCTGGAGGACGGTGGAGCAGAATCGGGCGACGCGATCCTCTTTTCGAATCGGCGATGCATTAGCAAATCAGCGTGGGCGGCGCGCGCTGCGAGTAATCACTGAAACTGTCAACCCTCGTCTACTTGCAGGGCGATCCAGGTGCTCCGCTGATGGAAGGCCAGACGCTGATTGGCGTTCTATCCTATGGATTAGGGTGTAAAACTATGATACATCCGGCCGTGTACACCCGTGTCAGCAGTTACGCGGCGTGGATCTCGGCGAATTCTGGCATCCGCTATACATGAGATGATATTCGCGAAACTACAATGTCAACACCGCTAACCTTCACCAAGAAACGCTATCGCGCTCTCGCTGCGAGTGCCGCGCTTCGAGCGGAGCGAAGCGGAGAAGTTTCCGCACGTCCGCGTCTCCGCTCCCCGCGACGCCAAAACGCTCTCTCGTAACTTTACAAATTTGTCGAACGCTGCAAAGAGTTTTATGGAAATATAATGGCGCCGGGAGAAAGGAAATTCCACCTATTCGCCGCGCACGAATGACTTCCTGTCGCCATATTGCGCGCGGCGTTTCATTTTTCCTTGACGCCGGTTCACTTTTTTATTTGCATTCCTTCGCCGAGCGAAGTGTTTTAACGGATTTCTGTCTCTAGCCGCGGCCGGAGCGAAAACGCGACTCGCGCGGAAACAGAGAAATGTGCGCAACGCGGTTTTCAATGCAAACGTTTGATAATTGTGCGGGTTAGTGGAAAACAGAATGTAACTTGCTGTTCGCTCTATCTATCGTATGTTAAAATGATTTTTGTATGCAAATAAATGCTGAAGAACGATCTTCTTCCATGGTAATTATATCCGGTGGTATTGTTTATTATTTCTGTTCTCGCAACGATGTATGTTTCATGTTCCTTTCTTGAAGACAGTTTTGATATCAACGCTGGAACGTGCGAACCTTTTTGACAAAAATATAACTGACTGTTGGGTTAGGATTATTTATAATTTTATTTAGTCATTTCTTTCAACGTAATCCGAACCAAAACCCTGACTAATTGTTAATTCGTTATATTAGTTATATTAGTGTTACGTTTCAATTTTATCGTTTAATTTTCTGGACCCAGTAAGTACACCTTGAATTTCCGTTTTATTGCAAATAAAATGGGTTACACCCATCATATAGGATTACCACTTATTTCGATCCCTGGACAACTCCCTTCGTGGTAAAACTTTGAATGACGATGACGCTGTAAAATCTCGCTTAACTCAGTTTTTGGCCGAAAAGGATCAGACTTTCTAGCATTCCGAGCATGGAATTTTCAAGTTGTCGGAGAGACGGCAAAAGGTCATCGAACAAAATGGAAAATACATTGCAGATTAAACTTCGTTCCAAGTAAAAAGAAATTTTTTATTTCATTGAACAAATCGGCGATTACTTAGTTGCCAACCCAATACAATAGCGACGTAAATCAGATAAAACGTTCTGTATGTTAAGAAACAGCCTGAAACATTTCCTTTGACGCAACTTGTATAACCCACATAACCGAGGAATCCGGAGAATTCGTAACCGATACGGTTCTCGAACACGGAAATTCCGGTAGAAAAAAAAGAACGGCGAGCCGCGTTCGGAGCTTGTAAAATTCGCGACAACATTTGCACAGGCTCGAACGAATTTACAATCTGCGCGTCGAGACCCCAAAAGGTTTATCGATTATCCGGTTAATTAGCGGTTTCGTCGGCTGGTACTTTATACTGCGACGACCCGGTGACTCATTTCCGCGAGCGGCAAAAAAACTGGCTGTCCACGATTCCACGCTCGTTCATTAGCAAACTAATAGTATCTTTGCGCGCTAAATGCGCGGATAAATATCTGGTAGTTCCGATGAGAAATAACCGGCTCAATTATGGGACCACTTGTTACGCTCATACATTAGGAGCCGTGCGGACTCGTTTATCGACCCGCCTACGTCGCCGTGTTTAAATAAGCGAGCAACGGTGAAAACCGAGAGGCGAAATTATATTTCCGGCCAAAAATGTTGCGATAATATCGAGCTTCGTTAACGCTCTTGCCCGCGCTTGCAAATGGTCCAAACGCCGGGGCTACACCGATCGATTGCTGTAAGTGATATTTTCGAACGCGGTAATTGATCCAATTACGACGAACAACTGTTTCGCAGGTGGCACGGTAGAGTAGGGGAAAACAGTCGAATTTTAGGCAGTACATAGATTAGACCTAATTTACAGTTTACAGTTCGTTGACACTGCAGTAAACTCCCGCCAAGAATTTTGCAGCAATCGTTTACGTGTAAGCTGACATTCTATTATCCGTTTTTTAATACCCTATATATGATATATATCTATAATTTCTCTATTCTACTCCGATCTATACGTTCCGTTGACAAGTTAACATACAACTGCAGTAACCACGTTAATAGAGTACAATATTAACAATAAAGTGTTTTATATAAAGTAAACGTAGGGGAGGAAAACCATTTTGATTATTATGTCATTAGTTTTTAGGATATTTTTATTCGGAAATTTTTGTTAATTTTTTTCAGTTCCTTTTCCATGAAAGGATTATTCCTTGCCGAAACTACAAAAATGTGATATTAACCAAAGACGCCAAGAAGATTTCTGTAATTTGAGATTAGACTGCAGTTACAATGAATAAAAAAGCAGTACTTATAATATTAATACCAAAATTACTTTACTTTGTTACACTGTCGCGTTCGCGAATGCGCTTGTATTATTCAATGCAATGAGTTTACAAAATGCATTTCTTAAAAAAGTTAAAAATAAAGCAAGCGGTCGTAAGAGAAACTCATCGACTCCACGCGTTCTTATAGTAAAAGAACTGACCTTTCGAATGTTTCAAACTACAGTTAGATAAGTCGTTTTGTTCTCTGTTTTTTTTTTTTATTACTTTGTCCTAAAGAAAAGTATATATGGCAATTCTCTTCGACCCGTTAAAACTAACAACACGGACACATTTGTGTCCATTTGTCTGTATTTGTTCCCATTGATTTTGATTATCGAGGTCCCACTTATAATTCGTACAGTATTATCGAACGATAACGTTATCGTTGGATTGCGGAGTCCTTGATAAAATAGGTAACTGAAAAATCGTATTCTCACGGGTCGCCTCGCCGCAAGAACGAGTCGGGTGGCTCAGGAAACGATTAAACTCCCTCTCTATAGAAAGACGGTGGCGATGTTGCAACGGCTCGCACTTGGCGTGGTTGATTGTTGGAAAAGTTCGAGATGTGCTGTTTCGCCTAGTTCTCTCACAAACCAGTGTTCTCTGTAATCCAGCTGCGAAGAACTGTAACGCGCGTGTACACGCCCGGGTAAGATGGGCGCGCGCACCCGATACCCCATGACACGATCCCGATTAATTTCCCGTATTGCACCATTGGTCCGCCGCTGTCACCCTGCAGACAGAAGAATATGTTGTCAACAGACTTTTCGCTTCAGAGAACAAATGTAAACACGAGGCGAGACAGTCGATAGTCAAAATTTTGTGTAGCTGTTGCAAGTGATAATGGGCGAACAGACTTGTATTTTCCCTGCTATTAACATATTCATGACCGCGCCGAAAACATCTCAAAATTTCATAGAATTAAAATATTTTTAGTTAATTACATTAAACTTGCAAAGCAAAGTTATACGGTTTTCAAAATTACTGTGCCTTTGGTTTCTTCTTGGGCATAATTAACATTATATTTATTTAATCTGCTAAAGTTAATTAAGTTATTAAGTTATTAATTATTATTTCTCGTTCCCTCGTAGTTACTGCGATAGTCAAAGGAATCCTGATTAAGAATATTCCTTGTGTTTTGTTTCTGACAAATAAAACCGCTGGAATCATGGCAAATATAAGGGCAACAGTTTTGACTACTTCTCGTTGTAAAAATTTTTAAACATCGTTGAAAGAGTTAATAGATCTACAGTATGAAAAACGTCGATGCAAGAAATTGCATAGTTCCTTTATAAAATAAATACCAAGCAAACGAAAAAAAACGCGCTCTAGACTAAAATACCTCCTCGACTTCGTTCAATTTCTTCTGTTGAATTTTCTCAACCCAACAAATGTATGTAAATACATACCGAGATGTGTTCATCTATAAATCCACGAGCCACGCGCAATACGCTCCTCTTTAGAACGAAGCATCGTACATAACGTCTTCGAAACGGTGTTCCGAAAATAACGAAGCCAGTTTCAATTTTTGCGAGTGAGTTAACAAGAGCTCGAAGGAATTTAATTAGGAAACTTCTCATTAAACTGGCCGGAAGAACCGCGGTACTCAATTAAAAGGCACGTATCCCCTTTTATCCGATTGGAACGACATCCGTGATACCATTCGAATTCGTGAGTGGAGATATCGGGAGGGAAATTGCAACGAGTTCGAGACGCGAGTTTCGTCGATAATGAACGAGGTCGGAGAAGTATCGTTGAATTAAATTCAGTCAACGAACACAAGAAAGCAACAAATAATTGGACTGTAAAGGGTTAACGATGCTGTTTCGTGGGCCATCCGGGCAAGATATTCGCCATACATCCGGTGAAAATCGATACAGCTGGCCACGATATATTATCCTCTACTTCCCGTTGCACCGATACGGCGCGGCGCGGCGCGGTGCATTTTACTTGCGAAACCCCCGGCAATTCTCACGTTGTTACAAAACTGAGAACCCGATAAAACGGAAATAAAGATATCAGCCAGCAGTCCTTGCCGCGTAACGGCGATCTACGCTGCCGTATCGGCTCCGTTTTCATCTAATATTTGTAAAACAACTTCCGTCAAATTTCGTTCTAGATTCTTTTGTTCTTGAATCACATTCGCGTTAAAGTTCCTCGAAACGTTTCCACGATTAGGTAGAAATATTCCAGATTTTATGGATAAGGTAAAATCACTTACATTTTATGCTTTTCAATCCGAGTGTTTTTTCTATCGATATCTCTCAGTTAGTCTTCCACTAGAAATCGATGATACTAAGCTAGGGATAAGTGTATGTCGATTTTGGAAGCTGTATCACGTGGTAACGATAAAGATAAATATATATGCTGAATTTTTCACGAGTACGATATCTACAGGCTGTCCCATAATTATGTTAAATGGAAAATTATTATCTCATTTTATTATCTTATGGAAAGGGGTGATTCCTGGGGTCGTTTGAAGTAACTTTTTCCTTTACAAAAATGTTCAACGTTAGGCGTTTCATCCGTTGTACTTCTTGTAAGAATGAGTCTGAGAAATACGAAATCGCAGGGAATGTATTTCTGCGAAGCAACTTAAAATACATTTTTAACGTAGAAAAGCTGGTTAGCTAACAAAAGGCTCTGTGAATCGTTAACAAAATTATCAAATAAAGCTGTGACTGTTGTGCCGGTACTTGCCTCCAGTTAAATATTCAATAGGAAATACACGCCGGAAATTGGAATGCAAGAATAGATGCAGACTAGATGCAACTGTGACATAAATCAATTTATTTTCAAGATATCTTTGTTTCAGTGACAGAGTAGATAATTGCTTAATACAATTCCTGCAATTTCCCTAAAACGATTCCACGTTGTCGTAATGCAACTAACAAAGATTAAGTTAAGGTATCGTTTTAATTAGATAATCGACAAACTATGTTTGAGGTAAAATTGCAATTCTCTACGAGATAAATAAAATTAACTCTGCGCTGTTACATCGGGTCAAAATGAAATTAACAATTAATTCAATATACAGTAAATTCTCCCTAATTGACGCTCAGATTGTACACAAAGTGGACAATTTAAGAAGCGGAGAGAGAGAAAAATTAAATGCGAATCATTAAAATTAAATAATTTGCTGGCTCAATATTCCTATTTGAGGAAGCTGTAAATAATTGATATTCCACAATAAGGTTAACTTAAATTAAATGTGTTGCCGTTTTTAAATATTATAAGATATTGTAATTAAAGATGACAATACAGTTCATTTAAGACTATTATGGATTACTTTAAATTTCTAATTATTATATGTTATTCGTAATAATTGATACATCGGAGAATTTAAAAGTAAATTTTAATATTAATTGAAATTGAAATTAGTAAAAATATTCTGAAATTCAGTTCGCCTCGCGGAGCGAAGGATTACATGTTATAAACGTCGACTTCATTCTAGTTCAGTGGAGAGAAGGTTATTTACCAAAGACACCCGCATACTTCCAGGTAAATTGGTTTTTGAGATATTTGAGGTATTCTTGGCAGTTACACTATTTCGGAGTAGATAAGTGGTGCTCCATTTCCAAGGCCCATAACATTGCCAATTTTTCGAATACCTTTAGAGCAATGTAGGGTCATGAAACACATAACTGTAAGACCGTCGGGATATTGACCAGGACATCCAGATAAAACTCGAACTCGTGAAAACGATTTCTGATGGTAATCATTTTCTATTTATTAGACAACTGTAGATGAAAACCTTCTACAGTTAGTCTTTCTAACATATCTGTATAAACGTCTATCCGGAGCTCATCTTCGCTACTACTTGTGTCATGAGACTCATTCCTGTTTGAACGTTTTGCCATTGTTCTAATAAAAGATATGAATAAATACATAGGTTGAAAATTTCTAATTGTTATTACCAACTCGCAAGATGATATTTAGCAAAAAAACTTTTACCAAACAATTTATTTACCAAGAGAAGAATCACTTTTCCGATTTTCTCACTCGTTAGATCTATCTATACCGCCCGACGCTTCGAACCAGACCGAGTTCAGCTTTGAAAATCTTTTCCTCCAGATTTTATGATTCTAAATCTCACTATGCGTGCGTGCTATGTTCGCGTACCGACCTTCCTTCTCCAAACTTGCCTTATCGCTCTTTTCAAGTGGCGCGTTTGAAGTGCTCGGACCGTCGTGAGCACGCCTCTCACGTTCTCGTCGAAACCCGCTGATATTTTTTGTACATATCTTAGTAATTTTACTATATTTCGATTTGATTTCTTGTGCCATTTCAAGAGAAAACTTCAGGGAAACACGCATGTCTCAAAAAGTTGCGCTGAAACAACTCAATTCCCGGTAATCGCTAATAAACTTGAATGTCCCACTCGAGGGGACATCCGAGTGATATGCTAGAATTGCGATGTCCCACGAGAGGGGACAGCGGAGTGCAAAGGGTTAAACGACAATCGGTGAAAAACAATTACCTGGCACGCGTCCTTCCCGCCCAGATTTACATAACCGGCGCAGATCATTCTCCTCGTGATCGGCCGGGTGCCGTAGAGCTGGGCGCACTCGGTATTAGAAACGAGGGGCACCTCGACTTTACGTAACTGGTTGGTCACTCGGCCGTTGCTCTTCGACGCTCCCCAGCCAGTCACCACCGCCTTGGTGCCAGCTTGGTAATGATCAGCGACCGGTGCCAGGAGGATCGGCCGTACTCGGCCCCCGTAGACCAGCGGCTTTTTCAACTGAAATTGTAATTGGTTTCAGGTAACGGCGAGCGGCGGCAACGAACACGAACGCCCGGAGAGGCTGCGCGCATTGCGGAATTGATTGTGAAACGGTAATTGAATTCTTTGGCTTTATTCGACGGGGGACGCGTATCGCCCCGTTAATAAATAAACTTCATCGATCGCGGACGCAGAGTACGCTCGGACCGGTTACGTTCTCACCGTTGAACAATGCGCTCGAAGTCGACCCTTCTGCTGCTCGAACACACAACTCTGCATTTTTAATGCGTTAACTGCTCCATCAGCGCGCGGAGGAGAAAATGACCAAGTTTGCGTCGAAAACATAGAACTTTTGACAGAAATGGGATAGAGGGATGATTTTAAATTCTGCTTAAAATGTTCTAGAATAATGGGAGAATTGTAGAGAATGTCGCACGAAGAATTTTCGACGTTGAAAATTCCTGTTACATTCGATACTTTCGATAAAATTTCAGTTTCTCCATTATGATATGTGATTGGATTGTTTTCTCGACGTCATTTCCCATTGATTCTGTCGCTCCGATTTTAAATCCTTCAGCAAGATTTGTATACAGGCCAGAATTGGAGAAAAAAGAACGATTTAATTCAATATTCTCTTTGAAATAGTTTTACAACCATTTGGTTTATTCGTGTGCGTGTAATGGCGAATAATTAATTATAATAATTCTAAGTAATTCTAAGCAAGTAATTTTCCCTCGTTTTAGAATATTTTAAATTTAATTTAAATGGAGTTAGCAGAGACTGGATTTAAAAAAAACTATGGCCGAGGAATTGCAAAGAAAACAAAATTAGAATATAACGAAATGATAAACGACGTTTCTGTTAAAACATGAGCCTCGAAGCAGGACAGAACGTTCCGGAATACCTAGTGTTTACTTGGCTATCCGCGAGCCTCGGTAATACGATATCGTCGGCACAATACGAGAGAGATCCTATATTTTCTTTGCGATTTTACAAACAATACCGGACACGATCTGACCTCGATGAAAGTACCGGATTCCGCACGAACGGCCATCGAGCCGTAGAGATGCTGATGCTTGGAAAACAATTCGTTGAACCGATTGGAAAAGGGCATAACATCGTGGAAGCTCATGGTGTTTATGTAAGTAAACTGATACAGAATTAATCCGGTGGATGGTACGATTTTATCAAGATTTTATACTGTCTCGCCCGAAAGAATAATTCACTAGATTTGCTGCGTTTAAGACAGTATTTTTTAAGTGAAACAGTACAATTATTGTGAATTTATATATATTATACTATACATGAAAAATTATTTATATCTAATTTAAGTTAATAATAATTATTAACATTATTATTATATATAATGTACATATAAAAAAGAATGAGAAGCTTCAAAATCAGAAAGAAAGACTTAAAAAGATTGGAATGTTTAAGAAATAAGAAGGAAGAAGAATCGAAGAAAAAGGAAGTTTGCAAGGCTTTTAATTTAAAACAGCTTCAAACTAAAGATAAAATCAATATTACCTAATAAAATATTTATTGAAACAGTGTATCTAGTTATTTAGGTATTAGATTATAGCTCGATAAATTAGGAGAAATATTAAAATAAAGTACGATCGAAGCTTCATATCATAGTAATTGGTACATTTCTCCTACATCTAGAAGTACATTCCCTGCATCAAAGAAGATATTTCTAATAGAAACCTTAATGTACACGCTGCTGTCTGGGCCACAAAACTGTTATTAAATCCAGAGCGATAGGTAGAATTAAATTGGAAAAGGTAACTAACTTAAAACTTACTTCGCGTTTCAGGACTATTTGCGGACGGAATAGTTTTGGTTTACTTCGGTAAGTGTGTGAAATATTTCCAAATCCAGCAACCCAGTCACCGTGCACCGGGCTGTCAAAATGTTTGTTAAAGCGAACCCGAAACACGCGATCAAACTTCTCGACTCTAATCTAAAATGTGGACGCCACTCACCCGAATTAGAGCTATATCGTAATCAGAGTCCCTGGGATCGTACATCTCGTGGGTAATGACTTCTTCAGCGTCGACGACTATTCCACCCTCCTTCAGGTCGGAAGTGCCGGCCTTTATCGAAATTAATGGAGCGAAGGCTCTGGAACGGAATATTATTATAAAACCGAAATGACAGAGGACTGTGTAAAAATATTTGCAGGATGTTTTGGAAATTATTGGAGAGCCGAGAAGACGTAAAAATGACATTACAAATAAAATTTTATATTACGACAGTTTACGATTTTATGGTAAGAATTTTGTATTTGAATTTTAAAATAATATCTATTTTGAAAAGTAACGATCTCCAATGGACGAATTCAGTTAAAATCAATGAAATCGGCTGCTCTGCTCTCCTATAAAATTCGATATATCCTGCTGTCTTCTGAATATGTGCTTCAGAATTAGACATCGATTTCCTATTCATGCATTCACGATCTTTTTAGTTATGCTCTCTTCGATCAACCCGGCTAGTTGCTTTTGAAAAGTTTATCTAAACTAAAAATACATGTTTCCGTAAATATTAAAATAGTTGAAAACTAAATCCACGTATAATTATATACAGAGCTGTGTGAAAGTGTCCACCAGCACAGTATAAATATTTCGAATTATGGAAAAAATGTACTAAATGTTCATTTTTTAAAATACATGAATTTTCTACATATATATATATAAGAATAAACATTAAGTTGAATCGTAGCTATTGTTATGAACATTTGTATTATAAAACTTATACTTTTGTTCGGTACAACGGATCACAGATTCTATCAAAATTTTGCAAATAATTAATAATTGTCCACCGGAATATCAAAATTTGGAGATTTGTACTTTCGTCGTGTCTCGGATAACCGGACTTCTCGTTAACGTCAAGTTGTCTATTTGTCCGCGATGTCCGCGGTAACAATAAATTTTCGTTACACGCTGGATAACGTGATTCATAAATTCAGCTAAGCGTCGTTAAAAAAAAGATCCATGCACAGTTGACGAAAAAGTATGCGTACCTCTGGACACAGTGCGCGGCGGTAACGACCCATTCCTCGCTAATGATAGCGCCACCGCATACGTGACGATTGTTATATCGGAGGGACACCTATAAATTTCGCCGGTGTATCAATTTTGCGAATCATCGGCCCCGACAGCCGTGAAATTCGCAATGTTTCCCCGTATAATCAGCGCAGCCGTGTTAAGCACGGATTTGCATTCTTTTTGTCCGTAGACCGGAGATTTTGTGAAAGGCAAACTGATTATCGTCTGTTGAAACGAAAAATGTCTCGTTATTATCAGACTCTCTGTCGCCGCTTCGCATTGAATAACAATAGCCTTGAAATTTTATTCCGAACGAAAAATATCGGAGGCAATTAATTTTGGGGAACGTTTCATTCGAATAAAAGAAATCTTGTCGCGTTAATGTGAGAAATACCTTACTTTTTGTCTTAGATCTAAAATTATAATTACACTGCGAATTTTATGCATTTATGATGGAAACGAGTAGGTCGAATACAAAGCAGTAAATGCAGGAGAAAAATTTCATGATGCTTTTCGATTGTGTTCCAATTATTAGAAGTGTTAAGGATGAAAATACAACCTAATATAAATAAATAGTCTTTTGCAAGTGAACGTATACTTTCGTCCAATTCTCGGTTTTTCTACAAATAGTAATTTTCTTGAAAAGGTTAATATTCATTGTGTCCGCGAGTATTGCAAAATTTCTGTTCACCGAGTTTATCTTCCGTGAATATTTACATGATTGGGAGAAATGGAAATGCATCAGTTTTAATCGCGTCAATAAACGACCTAAAAGGGAAGTTAATTTTTCATTTTATTCATCGTTGTACAGCTTTGTTGCATTTTACAGAAAAACGACAAGTGATTCTATTACGAATTGTCGGAACAAAGGAACTCGTACACGTAATTCTACCATCGTTTGTTTGGTCTGAATTTATGGTTGTTTGGTCTCTTTCCCTCTCTGTGGTATCTTCCTTCTAATTACTTCAAATGGAACAATAGATCGAACGATAAACAATGAGTACATCATAGAAACTAGATTCCCGTCTTTCGATATTTGTAGCATCGGAACACTCACCTGGTACGGATGATCATCGATATATGCTGGCTGGCCTCCAACAATGCGACTCTCGTCATCGACTGAAAGAATCAATCGTTGAGTTACCGTTTTCCACTTGCAAGGCTATTGTAGAAATTCTAACTAGAGCGTAGCACTGGCCGTCGTGTTTCGATGGGACTTAATCGGCTCCCTTAAATCGAAAACAATCGGACCAGCGGGAAAGAGGTGCTCGTGATTTCGCGACAACGCACAGTGGGGTGATTTGTCCGATTTCGATGGCCAAAATTATTTGTTTCACTTATCATGTCTGCTAACTTATTTTTTAGTATTTAAAAATAGAAAAAATTATTATAAACGAATATAAATTAACGATGAAATATTATTTATATTATTTATATTATTTGATGGATTCAAAACCTGCCTATTTAACTTATTCATGGTATTTTAGAATAGTGAGAATAATTTTGAATATTAACAAACAAATATTATTATTAATTGCCTTGCATGGAGGCTAGATAATTATTTAAAAACATCTAAAAATTTTAATATTTTCTCGGCGGATCGTGCGAATAACGAACAGCACCGCGCGTTAATTTGCGACGCGAAACGCGTCCCGACTCGAGCCGATCGGTTCGCGTGGATATCCTTTTGTATCGCAGAGTGGTTCGGCTCTGTTTTTACACGGCTGATGTACTTTATGGAGATTGAGTGTACTTACGATGCAGTAAAAAGAACTGCGACAACGCGACTGGCACGAACGGCGACCACAGAAACAGGAGGAAGGTATACATGGCGGGAACTTGCCGAAGGAACTACTTCTCCGCCATCTGGCTCGCCCTTCTTTTATTTCGATATTCGGGTTAATTGTCGTTCGTATCAATTTACTTGGACACGACGAAAAATTTCCGATCCACGAAAGTCTCGGACCGCTGACCTGGATTCCGCGTCGATTACGCAAAAAGGAGAAGGACTGAAACTGAAATAAAGCGTCAGCGCCGCCTGCGCAACGGCCGATTAAATCGTTCATTTTGGACAAAGTCATTAAGTGTGGTCTTAACGCGAGTCGGCTTTAAATGTGTCTGTTTACGAGTGCAACAAGATAATTCATTGCGTTAAATGCTGAAACGAGCGGTAATATTTTAAATTTAAATTATTTTAAGTTTCTGCGACTGGACGCTTCACAAGTCCTGAAATTTTGACACGTCGAGTGCCGAAAATCGACCTTGAAAATTCTGAATAAAATCTAAGTAATTTGATTAATGATATTGAAAAAAGAGAAATAAAGTTTTTAATAGTGAATGCTATTCATTCTAGTAAAATTCAGTTTGTTGGAATAAGGTGAGGAGTATCAATTACTGCGGGTGTAACCAAGACTTCGGAATTTGTTCCTATTAAAGTTAAAATACGTAGAAATTAATTTTTGGTCTGGAAAAAAATTTATATGATTCAATAAGAATTTCTTCTGGCTGAAGAAATGGAAATATTGTTCCGTCATTCTCATAGTTTTCATATATTAATATTTGAAGCAACAACCTTTATAAAAGATGTATAAGATATAAAGATTCCTTATATTATTTAAATACCTGTTTTATTACAAAAAGAACATGGAAAGGACCTTTCCTTGCATTTTTCGTAAAAAATTAAACCCCCAGTATTACGTACACTCAATTATTATATGTTGTATCTATTAATCATAACCTATAAGGTAGGCCTAATAACCCACCCTGATCAAATCCCCATTTGTTGTTAGCAGCGAATAATGAAAAAGATTGAAAAGTTTTCTGGGATAAATAATTAATACGAATATAAAAGCTTTAATAAATATATATATAATCTGTCAAAAACCAGCTCATTCCATTACCTTAATGAGTTTTCTACGTTTTTACCCATCATAACAAAGTTTTCATATATAAAATCTACATAATAATAATAATAATAATATTAATTTATACATGACTCTTTTTCGTCCGCAGTAATTCGTAGAAAATGACATTTATTCGATTGTCGATATTGTTCTTATCTTAAGTAACAATTTCAAAGTTTACTCCTTTTTCCATGTTTCTTAATACAAAATTCTTTATCAAAGATCATTGAAAAATCGTTTCTTTCATAAAAAATAAAGAGAAATAGTGAAAAGGGAGCTTGTTACCGCAGTGCTTTTACCTTATATTGCAATAAAAATTATTTTTAAGAGCTAGTACAAAATTAGGGTCGCCCATATGCGACCGGCGCGGCACTCAACGTGGTAATGTTACACTTCGATTGTTTTATGGGATAGGTAGGTATAAATAATAAATAAAATAAACGACTGAGTCGAACCAATAAGGTGATATTATCTTTTCCATGTTATGACTTTCGCGTCCTACAAACTGAAACCAATTTTTTCGCCTTCAAGTTCACTTCAAGGTAACGGTGTGCAGGCCGATGAACTCATCTTGACACCGACTACCACGTAGCGTTATTTTAAGATATAATGATCATGAAAAAACCGTTGAAATGACACTCATAAGATTATTTTTTATCATCACGCAGCCTTAAAATCGTGTACATCCCATTTAGTCATTTTGTCTTACTTGTTGAAAATGTCCTTTGGGACGTTTTATCTTCTCAATGAGTAGAATACGAAGAAATTTTTATAAAAAAATTGACCTTGAAAAAACCGGAGAAGGTAAATTTTGCGATCGATTTGTTTAACAGATCTTCGCCGATTCGATGGTGTAGAATCAAGCTATGCAGCTCATGACATAATTTCTCGACTCTTTGTACAAAGTCACAACGAAATCGGTGACTTAAAGGCCTTGCACCGTTGCAAGGATTGGGACCAGTGTATTCAGGAAAGGTCATTACGCAAAGCGACGCATGCGCAAGGAGTCTCTCACAGCGGCGTCATGCGGTCGTTGGCTGATCCGACTTGCGCCAGCCGAGCTCGCCTCTCATTGGTCACTGTTTTTTCTTAATAACTCGTAAACAAAACGGCGGATTGTATTTTCGCTAAGGAAAAAGTTACTTCAAATGACTTCGTGAACTCCCTTCGTGAGCACCCTATAAATCATCAACATATGAATATCGGTTAACAGATTGAGCATCGATTCGCTGTACTGGTCGCTGGAACACTTTGAACGATCCAGTTACCAACTGGCAATAAATCCGACACTTCGTTCCGCACAACCTAATAGAAAACATTTTCGATCTCTTCTTTTATAAACCTAAATTTAGAACACGGACGCAGAGGCGATCACTTTACGATCTAATGCATCTCCGACAAAAGTGCACGAAATTCCATAAAACCGTTGTTCCGGTGGCGATGGGTACGCCGACACCGTCGCGTCGTGCCGCTTACGATCGCGAAGGAACACGGTAAACTTCGTTCGGAATCGATACCGGTTCTCCTTAGAAGACGGAAATGCCGATCAACGGCGGCACGTACAATAGCGACGCTCGTTCCGTCGGCCTTTACGAGTCGGCCACCTGTGCCGAGCTGGAAAACCGACTGGGAATTCGGGCACGTATACGCGTCAGCTGTAAAATTAATAATTTCGAACGAATAATTCGATGACGTACCCACTGCCCTGACCCGGGGAAAGGTGAGAACGACCCGGCGCCTATCGGTTCAAGTGTTTCCCTCTGTGCCCTGTGTACTCGGTTGTGCATACGTAGGGTCGAGGGGACGCCTTTTCATTAGCGAGCTTCATTCCAAACAGGTAGTTCTTTCATCAAGCCCCCGTTTCTGTGTACCTGACTCACTTTTTCACTCTCCCGTTCTCTCTCTTATTCTCTGTCTTTGTCTTTCTCTGTCTGCCTTTGTATGCCTCTCCCTCCCTCTCTCTCTTTCTCTCTCTTTCTTTCACTCTACAGCTTTCTTTCTCTCTCTCTCTCTCTCTCTCTCTATATATATATATATATATATCAGGTTCTTTCGTGCTTGTGTGGGAGCGCGGCTGTTGCTTCGATCGCGTTGTCGTGGGCGTGTATTTTGTTCAAATGTACATATGCACTCTCAAACGGCCGGCCGTTTCAAAAAAGATGCACTTAGCACGGAGGAGCACTTCAGGATTTGAAAGTGTTTACGAGAACACGTCTTTACCGGTGTGACACTCGTAGAGATTCCATCCACCTTGTTTTTATCGTGCCGTGTTTTTAGAAATCCGTTCNTATATATATATATATATATATCAGGTTCTTTCGTGCTTGTGTGGGAGCGCGGCTGTTGCTTCGATCGCGTTGTCGTGGGCGTGTATTTTGTTCAAATGTACATATGCACTCTCAAACGGCCGGCCGTTTCAAAAAAGATGCACTTAGCACGGAGGAGCACTTCAGGATTTGAAAGTGTTTACGAGAACACGTCTTTACCGGTGTGACACTCGTAGAGATTCCATCCACCTTGTTTTTATCGTGCCGTGTTTTTAGAAATCCGTTCGACTGAAGACTCGCACATTACAATTTTTCTTCGCAGATGTTCATTTTCTTTGGGTTTATCGAGCACTGGCTAACAGAGGAAGATACAGTTTCCTTGCTCGAGGAGTTGCTTAATTATGAACCGTAACTTCTTCCTGTAGTTGTTCGCAAGTCATTCTATTCGGTGCTGTCATTACCATTTTCGCTTGAAAAGTCACGGACATTTTTAAATGCATCAGCTGATATTTTTGTATGTTACAATACTTACAACTTCTTTCCATACGTGGAAGCCACCGATGCTATTAGGTGGGAGTCCGCGGACAGATTTGGACCCGTTTAGAGACATTCTCGGGGCCAGGTGGTGACCAAGCACAGTTGTTATATAGCCGGCTAAATCGTGACGGCATGCGGCACCGCAATTCGGATCACGTGACGAGGTAAGGAGTAGCAAGTGCGAGAAGGCTGGAAGTCGTTAATGCCACCTCCCACTTGCTACTGCTTGCCTAGTCACGTGATGCGAGCGCCGGTGACGTCAGAATTTAGCTGGCAGTATACCAATACAGAGCCAACTGAGCTGGAAGTCAACGTTACAGTAATTTCTCCCTAATTCGCGTTCAGATTGCGCACAAAAATGGACAATTTGCGAAGCGGAGATACGATTATTCGAGCACGATTAATCGAGCGGCTCGTTTTTATAGTTGTTGACAATCGGTAACTATAAAGACGAGCCGCAAAGCTCGAATAATCGCATAAAGCGCGAATATAAAATTATAAATTTTAAATTCAAATTACTTGAAATTATAAATTTTAATTTCCAATTATACGAAATTATAAATTTTAATTTCCAATTATATAAAATTATAAAATTTAATTCGCAATTATTTGTAATTACACATTTTAATTTCCTATTGTCTTAAATTATAAATTTTAATATCAGGTTATAAATATTTCCATTTAAATAGCTACGCTGGATCTGCGAGATTAATTGTAAAGATATCATTTCATTATCCAATAATAAGAACGACATATAACAATCATTGCGAAATGATATTCCAATGGTTTTAAAATTACTCACGCTACGAAAACGTTTTACATTTTGAAGGACCGACTAATTTTTCATTACAGCTCTTCTTGTATAAAACGCGACGAGTTTGGTGATGCAACGTTCGCAACCTGTGCAGAAGCGTCAATATTAATTAAAAATCAAAAGCTGTTGAGTGCAGAAGACGTCGCGACGTTTCGCGCGAAGTATGAACAAATCTACAACAACTGGAATCGATTTCCTGCGGTCTTTTGAGCGGAACCGTCATCGAGAGATATTGTCGCAAGTTGAAATCGTCGATATGCTTCAACGACACTTGAAATTGCGCAGCTCTTCCAGGAAAACGAACGGCGATGCTGGCTGTGAACACAATCCTCGGCCAGATGGAAAGTGAATTGGTTAATCACCGCGTCTCGCTTCATGCAAGAACCGTTAATTGTTCCGGAACACTTGCGCAAGAGTTTCTTCGATAATTGATTGGCGCCGCATTCGGTCAAGTATTACATTTGTTAGTTTCCGTGTCCAATTTATTTAACACGCAGTGATAATTTCGATCTGTGTTGGCTTCCTTAAATTATTTTTATATTATTATATTATTATTATTATTGTTGTTATTATTATCATTTATTATATTATTTTTATTTTTATTATATTTATATTATTATTTTATTTTTATTTTTTTATTATTATTATTATATTATTATATTATTAAAATCGTCACATTATAATTTCTCAGATTCGAAGAACGCCGAGGTTCGATCAGTCGGGCATTATTCAAATTGTTTCGAATCAACATTTATCCGAATTAATTCTTTTCAGTGAAATATTTCGTACGAATAACGATTATTCATTGTTCGTTATAAATTATTCTATCTATTTAGTCGAATATAAACTGTTTGTATGATTCTTCATTCGAATAAGTAATTCGATCAGAGATGATACAATTATTCGAATAATAATGAAAAATAATTGTTGGCTGCTTTTGTTTTTACGTAATTTTAGTTACGTATCAGTGTATTGAAAAGTAACAAACTTCTCGATGCAACATTTGAAAAAGAAATATGGACGAAATGAATCGATGAACTATGAAAAAACATTTCATACCGTAACAATTTTATTCAAATCGATTATTTTCGTATAAATTATTGTATGAATAAATTCTCGTTCGAATGAATTCATATTTGAATAAAATCTTATTCGAATGAATACTGTTTCGAATAAAAAAAAATTCAGGTAAATTTTTGTGTAAATAAATTTGTATTCGATCGGATATTTATTCGTTGGTGTCGAATAAAATTTTATACGTGTTAGTCTTTATCTGTCTTATCCGAATAAAATGTTGCCCAACTGTGGGTTTTCTTTAAAATTTGAGGACAAACTTTTCGAGCAATTGCGCGAATCGATTGAAAAAGTAATTAACACTTGAATTAGGGGACTCGTCAAAAAGTTGCTGGTATCAAATTTTTTAATTTATTGAGATTGTAAAAAATACATTCATGAGAAATTATTAGATTTCTTTAATCGCATAATAAACTCGCTAAAAATTCTGACTAAACGTATTCACGTCACTTGTATAAATTAATGTCAAATAAATTGACTTCATAGTTTTTATTTTATTAAATAAATCGCTGTTGCAATCGCTGAGTGATCCGCGAACGCGTGAAACATTAAACATGCTTTCTGTGGATACATTTTTAATGAACTTTATTCAGGATCTTTTTCATCCTTTAATATGTAAAAGAAAAACAAAGTACAAATTTTTAACGCGAAGCTCTGAAAGGCATCCGCGTGAAAAAATAATGGAACTATCGTTTTTGTCAGCATTTTGTTCCTATTGGATAAAGCATGCTTGCAACAGCAACGAGGAAAAATTAATCTTCGCCCCGGGTATGCAGAGAAAGATGTTCATTTTTCTCATTTCTGCTTTGCGTCTATCCAAGATCGTACCTCGGACACTCGCGTGTATACTCCAGGATATCCTTGTCTCGCGCATTCGATAGCGCCCCAGGATACAACGCCAATTTGAACGCCGTTGAGTACCAGAGGCCCGCCCGAGTCTCCCTGTAACAACCCGTATAAATAACGTTGGCTGCATCAAGAAGGAAGATTCTCTATCGAAGTTTCGCAAAAGAAGAAAAATCGTGAAATATAAAATACAACGAAAACAATCAGTAGCTTTATTTGCTCTGAGATCTTCGAAGATAAAATATATATAAATAAATAATATAATAATATTAATATATTATATATTATTATAATATTTATATATAATATATATTATCGTTCGCAGATAATACGGTCGAAAATATTACTTTGTCGGTAATACTATCGCGATACTCTTTACATAATCTTAATCAACTGAAGCGACTCGATTTTGGGACATTACCTAATTGGATATCATCTGATAATACCTTGTTCGGAAGATAAGGATCTGATAATTTATAGACCGTATTTAATTTTTTGCTGGTATCGAACGAACCAAGTACATATTGTTTATACGTTTGATACTATCTTTTAAATTATGATAGACTCTCCACGAAGTTTTTATCGAAATATTGCAGGAATAACGAGAATCCACTCGAGTGTTTTTGAGGTTCCAGAGAGTTTCAATCAGTAGACACGTGCTTCTGAAGCACTATGTATAAGAATAACGATTAATGAGATTGAAGGAGATTTGACATTATTAATATTATCTGATGTATCGGTCAGCTTGTCAGTCAAGATTAACATTCGAATGGCGATACTTTTTAACAAAAATATGACTGAGTATGTTTTAGATCATTTATGATTTTATTTGTTAATTTTTTTTTAAATAGTTTTGAAGGCACCTCTTCGCGGATGTCATCTCTCTGGACGACGCGCCACTATAGTGGCTTGCTCTAGTAGCTCACTTGCTCATCGTTTGAACCAAATAATCGTCTTCATATGCATTGTTTCACACTTCTTTTGTCTTCGCATCGATTTCCCAAAAATGTCTCGCAATCCGGAAATGGCGGGTTCCTCGGATCGTTTGAAGCAACTTCTTCCTTTACAAAAATTTTTTCCGAGGCATCGTTAACGAGTTATCAACGAAAAACAGTGACCAATAAGAATCGAGTACGGCCGACGCGAGGCGGCCCAGCCAACCAGCGCGCGAAGCCCAGTTCCTCTCGTTGGCTCGATCGCCTCGCGCCAGCCGAGCTCGCCTCTCATTGGTCACTGTTTTTCGTTAATAACTCGTTAACGGTGTCTCGGAGAAAATTTTTGTAAAGGAAAAAGTTGCTTCGAATGGCCCGAGGAACCCGCCGCTTTCGGATTGCGAGACATTTTTGGGACACCCTGTATATATACAGACAGAATATATAGTATCAGACTGTGTACAGTACATATCAGACTCTGCCGTCCAGAGAAATAGCCTCGCGCAGAATTCAGCCGTACCTAAATGGTTATTAGTTAGATTTTCGATATAGTTGCTAAACGTATGAAACAGACAAGTAAGTTTGCACAACGCTATGACGGGTTCAAATAGAGATACGTTGAGGAATCTTTACCTGACAACTGCCTTTGCCGCCGTTCAAACTACCGGCGCACAGCATAGCCTTCGTCACTTCCTTGTGCTGAGGAGCGAAGATCTTCCTGCAAGTGTCTTGATCAACGACAGGAGCCGTCAGGGTTTGCAAGTTACTCGCTGCAGAGCCACCAACCTGCAAGTGATTGCATATTATACGAGCCGATTTCGAACGGCATCCTAACCGACTCGCAGCCTGGCAGGCCGAGGCAGTGCAAACGCGAGAGCGTAGGAAGTGCCCGATGCGAGAAATGTTTGCCGTTACGATCGAACATTGTTGACCGATCGACAAACAAACCTTAATGTTTACGCGAGTTCGCAGTGGGTAATCAGTTCCGGGGAACGTTACCGTTGACCGAAGCACCGTGCCACCGTCAAACAGAGTTTACCTATGCAACAGCTGTCAAAACGATCTACATAGAGACAGACCCAGACGAAAAACTTACCGTCGTGTAGCCCCATCCTGTCACCACGGCGGCACTTCCTGTCTGCACCGCGCTGTTCGAAGACGCCAACGCGATTGCTTTTGCATTACCGTCCAGCACTATCGGTGTTGGCAGCTGCAATGGTTGCATTTTTATAAATATCAAATTGCTTCGACACTGCTTCGATCAACACGAGAAGCCAACATTCGTGTCACTTTTTCTTAGAATCTATTACACGTTTTAACGAAAGATAATCTTGGAATGCCGAACAGAAAAAGTTGATCAATCCTAATGTCGTCAAACCGGCTGAAATTATAATATGTAAAATATGTAAAATATGTAAAATATTAGAATCTACCTTGGTGTTTCCCCTTCGATTTGTTTAGTTTTACGAGTAATTATTATATTTTTTGAATGATAGATTATCGAGAGTGTATCAGAATGAAAAGGAAAAATAGTCAACGCAATAAGGAAATGGCATTATCTTATCTTCTTCTACCACTTCTCTGCTCAGACACTGACCGACAATCAAATCGTTGAACGTAATCAAGCAAAATAACAGGAAGACATCGTCGTGATTCGAATTTTAGGATAATACGCGGAGAGAAATTACTTCGTTGAAACGTTTATGCGTGCGGACAGACATACCTTTATGAGAGCAACATCGTACTCGAATGTGTCGTCATCGTACAGTTCGTGAGGAATGATCTTCCGTATGCCGGTGATCTCGGTGCCAGCTTGGTTATTGTAGGTACTCTTGGCGCGAATTCGGAAAGCCGAGGGTGCACGTCTGCAAGGTAATCGCAATTAACCGCGGATCACCGTACGATGCAGTTTACGAACTAGCAATTTCGCGTCCCGGTAATTAATAAATTATCTACTTGGTCTCGCGCCGTTCCATAACTCAATCAACACAAACCCATAGACACAATGCGCCGCCGTTAGCACCCAGTCCGAGCTGATTATGGAACCTCCGCATATAAACTTCCCATTAAAGTGGACAGACACCTGTATCACGGAAACGATTATTTCGTTTATTGTCACAACATAATTACCGTCTATGTTAATTGTCGCAGATTACGCTGCTATGCTTTCGGAAATCGTACACGTAATTCTCCAATCTTAAGTGTTATATCTTGCTTTCGACATTATCATATTTCAATTCTCACACGTTTTTCAGGTGAAAATTCACGCGTTTTCCGTTTTAGGTACTGTAGAATTTGATATTTCTCATTTCGGCCGCGACAGCCCCACGTGGAGCAGAGAAAAAACAATGTCAAAAACGGGCCAAACTTGACCCATGGGCCGTGACTCGTCCATGCCTGGGTTTCACGAAATTGTAGAACATGTGATTAGATTTACGGAAAATTATTCTATCGAGCAGTTTTTCAAATACGGCTTGTTACAATACACGTGAGAAAGCACTATGCTAATACAAAATGATCTCATTACTAAATGCACATGAACTTAACTGTTTTAATTTGTTAATTTGAAATTACAAAATGGGGTACTTATGTACAGCTATATATATTATAGAATCGTTGAGAACCTAATACAACAGGATTTTAGTTTTCAACGTGATGGAGGGAGCTCGCCTATTATACTATATACTATATATACTAATAATTCACCTGATACGGATACTTCTCGATCGTCGTTGAAGTCCCGCCAATTATTTTCGGCGTGAGAGGATTCGCGGCTGCAAACGTGACAAGAAGAAGTACTATCCACATGTTTCTTGTAAGATGGATCAGCGACCGACTGACTGCGTTTCCTTTAAAATCACTGTTGTCTAAGGCCGTCGATAAACTGATAAGGCCAGAGATTTGCTATCGGCATTAAATTACGTTGATTTCGATAAAAGTAATCGATCAACTTTCCGGTCTCGCTGCCCTCCTCCACTATTCTCCCTCCCGGGATGGATTCACGCGTGAAAAAAACTTCTCGACGGTTCGCAACGTGTCTACGTCGGATTCGGCGAAATAAAATTTCCCTTCCGCTTCGCCGTCCCTTCCCACTGGTTCTCGGAATGGAGTTAAGCGCGAACTTGCGTTCGGTTTCAAGACCGTAGAAACCTGAGGTGAAACGGAAGTGGATGGCGGGGACCATTATTGGAAAAGCGGATAAAAAAAAGGAAATCCACGATTGAACGTTAGATGCGGATATCGGCTTCGCGGAAACGTCTTAATCACGCGATGCGATGGAAGCAAATGACTCGTTGTCTTTGCGGTTCACTTGAGCACACACAGTTTCACAACTTTATAATTTAACTCTCTCTCTCTCTCTCTCTCTCTCTCTCTCTCTCTCTCTCTCTCTCTCTCTGTGTGTGTGTGTGTGTGTGTGTGTGTGTGTGTGTGTGTATTTAACTTTTGTATATTTAACCGTAATTTATGTAAATTGTAATATTATGTGAACTATGTATTTATTGTAAACTTTTGTAAGTAACTTTTGTCAAACTTAAGTTAAAGAACTTTTGTAAGTTGTTTTGTGAACTTTCAACTTCACAATATAAAATGCTGTGGAAAACTGTGCAAACGCTATATCCGCATCGAAATGAATGCGTTCTGTTTGATTATCTAATCCAAATCTATTTTACATCCAATCTATACCTAATATAATCCTAATTTCGTCTTTGTATTGAATACCTATTTAACACTAAACCTATCAAATGATCGCTTTTTAAACTTTGAGCAAACATTTTAATTTCAATGCTTTTGCTTTTACTTAACTTATTGCGCAACATTTTCTATAACATATATCTGTTTATTTGTTAAATATCTATCTCTCTTATTCTTTCACTTTTATTCAGGTAATCTTACGTTATCTAGTGTTACCTATCGTGAGTGATCTTTTGACCGCTGGAAAAATGCATGAACTTTTACAACGATATCTACGCTGAGATCACAAACTTATAATAAACTTCTGATGAAATCATAAATATATGTCATAATCCGCGAGAGGCGGAACTAAGAGCCAATTAGCGGAACTGTGCTTCATCCGCTCGTTCACTTGGCCGCCTTGCGACAGCTGAGCTGGCTTCCCATTGGTCAGTTGTTTTTTGTTAATAGCCCGTACACACAGCCGCGAATTGCATTTTCGCTAAGAAAAAAGTTACTTCAAATAACCTCACGAATCCTTCATTTCCCGGAAGTATCATAATTTTGGAACGCTCTGTATTATATTATATATTATATATTATATATTATTATTATATTATATTATTATTTTATTATAGATATAAATATTAATATTAATATTATATTCTCAATGAATAAACATATAACGAAAACATGTGAGACTATTTGTTACCAAAAGGGTTTTGTGTGCCAATTTGACACGCGTGAATTTCACAAGCAAGACAAGACGTGTCATTTATTTTTCGTTGAAAAAATACCTAAGAAGAAGTCTGAACGAATGAGAGCAATAATAAGTGAGCGAGCACTTGAACGATGAACAACAGTGGATAATGGAATGAATACAGTAGTCGCTTTGCTATACGTTTTAAAACAATTGTACTGCGATAAGTAAGTTTAAAATAATTGCTGCGCTAAGTGTAAAAAAGGCGTGACATTCTATGTGAAAAATGTGATGAGAACACTATTTAAAGAAGTTTTTTATTCTGTATAAATATTTGGTAAAAATAAATTGTTCGTGTCTTATCATATTGATTTTTTTTAGCGTCAATTGGACACACGAGATAGACGTTAAGTTGGAAAACTGTCTCCGCTTTCGAAATGTCTTCCTGCTAGTCGATATTTCCTGCGACGCTCCATGTCACCGCAAACCCCGCGATCTCCGGTTCGCCGCAGCGAGGCTGTTTGGCGATCGGACGAGCGAGGAAAACGGGCAACATAAAAATAATATTTGAACACGGATCGGCAGGACGCGCGGTTTCGAACGGAAGCGACATCGTCCGCAAACACACGATCTCTATACATATAATTTTTACCGGCGCTGCTGACCGCAATTTCGATCACCCCCGCGATAAATGAAACCGTGCCGACAATGAAACAATTGAAACGCCGACGAACGGTGTGCCATTTACGGCCAGCAGAGCGTATTTTTTTTTCTCTCACAGTTGCTCTCACGCGTGCGCATACTCGCAAATTCTGTCGCGTGTGACAAAGCCAACAGTACGGTGGGGTGGCGGCGGGGGCAGGGCAGCGCGAAGAGATAGAAAGATAATCCGCTGACGATTTGTTGAACGCGTGTACCTCATCGATGCGTAACTCCTTTTGACGCGCTATCGATTGTACGGTTAGAGGGATGCGGCACACAGTGGACCGAATAAGTCGGTCAATTTAACAACCCGTTTGTAAGAACAATAGAACCGCCGTTATTAGAACTAATTAGACATATAGTCACAAAAGTGTTCGTACACCTTTTAAATTTGCTATTTTTAACCTTTTTATCTGAGCCTATGAATTAAAAAAATGCCTTTTGTAGATCTCGGTAGCTGAAATGCGTGCTGAAAAATTGTCTAGTAGACTAGTCCCTCTATCATCTAGAAAAAATTCGGGTCATTTAGGTCAGTTTTAAAATAGTTGCGTTTTAAAAGGTGTACGAACATTTTTGCGGACAACTGTACATCGTTATTACCAATCTTACACATTAGCCGATCACGATCATATAATTTCCCATAGTGGCCGAAATACCACAAATCATATTTTCAACAGAAACAGAATTGTCTCTTTCATGCCACCTCATCCCTATCAATTTCTCGGTTTTGTCCGGCTATGAAATCCAGTTTGATCACTGTGTGCGGCTACCAAAATGGCAGCCAGCGCGCGGCGCGCCGCCGCTCGCGTCCGAACGGACACGTGTTTCAGATCGTGGCAGCCTACGCGGGAATTAATGCTATGCCAAACGACCCTCGTAAACGTAAAAGGCCACGCCGCGCCGTTAAAATTATATGATAGCACACGGCCGGATATACGAGGGCCACATACCTATCTCAAGTGTATTATAAATGTGATGCATGCTGCTCGCAAAACAACCAGCCTTTATTATTTACGGTGTACTCGACTGAATGCCCTGAAAATAAGGCGGCATTAAAAGCACGGCCGCGGTTAGTGCCGCGGCTAGAACGACAGCGGGACAGGAGGAGACGAAAGCGAGTCGGATATAATCCCATAATGTGTAACCCGCTGAAAATTACCATTTAACCTTTTAGGTACGGCTGAATTCTGCGCGAGGCTATTTCTCTGGACGGCAGCGTCTGATGTGTACTGTACAGACTCTGATACTGTATATACAGGGTGTCCCAAAAATGTCTCGCAATCCGAAAGCGGCGGATTCCTCGGGCCATTCGAAGTAACTTTTTCCTTTACAAAAATGTTCTCCGAGGCACCGTTAACGAGTTATTAACGAAAAACAGTGACCAATGAGAGGCGAGCTCGGCTGGCGCGAGGCGATCGAGCCAACGAGCGGAACTGGGCTTCGCGCGCTGGTTGGCTGAGCCGCCTCGCGTCAGCCGTACTCGATTCTTATTGGTCACCGTTTTTCGTTAATAACTCGTTAACGGTGCCTCGGAGAACATTTTTGTAAAGGAAGAAGTTGCTTCAAATGATCCGTGGAACCCGCCATTTCCGGATTGCGAGACATTTTTGGGACA